ACCAATGTTTTGTCTTACCCTGAGCACTCAAGCTCTAAAATTGAACCCCCACCCCGAAAGCATTTCACTTTCCTCAATGTCCAGATTTTAATGAAAATTATCACACTTGCAAAGAGAAAGAAAAGTACGTTCCTTATACAGGAAGAAAAAGCAACCAATAGAAACTGTCCCAGAGGAAACCAAATACTGTACTTACTTGGCAAAGACTTTAACAAACTATTATAAATATAGTGAAAGAACTAAAGCAAAACATATCTTTAAAGAACTAAATAAAAGTATAAAAACAATGTCTCTCTCACCAAATAAAGAATATCGAAAATAAAAATTATACAACCTAACTGTATAGAAATGCTGGCATGGAACGTATAACCGAAATAAAAATTTTACTAGAAGGAGCTCGAAAGAAGATTTAAGTAGCAGAAGGAAAAATCGGCAGACTTGACAAAGGTTCAGCTGATGTTACCCAGTCTAAAGAAGGGAAATGAGGAAGCATGAGGGAAACTAAACAGAGCCTCAGGAACGGGTGGAGCATCGCCCAGTGCGCCGGAACAGGCCACTGCGAGGCACGGAAGGGAAGGCGGGGAAGGAGCAGAGACACTGGGAAGAATAACGGCCAAAGGCTCCCCTGATTAGATTTAAAAACCCTATCCTACACCTACAAGAAGCTCAGAGAATATCAAGCAGCATGTCTAAAGACACAGACAAAAAGAAAAAATCTAAAGCAACAGTAAAATGCAACTCATCATGTAAGATACTATCATAACATTAACAGCTGATTTGCCATCAGAAATTACAGAGGCAAGATAGCAGTGGGATGACATATATAAAAGGAGAAAAAAGATCGACCAAGATTTCTATATCTGGCAAAACTATGCTGAAAAAAATAAGGAGAAGTTAAAGCATTCACAGATAAACACAAATGAGGAAATTTTTTTGTTATCATATCTTTCCTCTGAAAAATACTAAAAATAGTGCTTATACCAAAATGATAGGGTATGAGACCGTAACTCACATATACACACAGAGAAAACTCTGGTAAAGAACATAAGTAAATATAAAAAGCAATAGAAATGTATTTGTGTCTGATTTACTTGTCAGATTTAAAAGGCAACTGTAGCCCTGGCCAGGTGGCTCAGTTGATTGGAGCTTCATTCCATTCACCAAAAGCTTGTGGGTTCCATTCCTGGTCAGAGCACATACTTAGGTTGAAGGTTCAAACCCCAGGCAGGGCCCATATGAAAGGAAACCTATCGATATCTCTCTCTCTCTCACCCTTCCTCTCTCTCTAAAATCGATAAACATATCCTCAGTGAGGTGTTTTTTTAAAGGATCCATTTTTATGGAATTGAATTATATCTTATAAAAAGAATGTTGCAATGAACATCCTTTGTCTCCTTCTTACACCTTATACAATGTCTCCTAGAGCACAAATTGTACAAATGTTTCTAAATCTATGGACCTACAACTGGAAATACTGGGCGGTAGGTTTTCAATTTTGCTAGAGCTTGACAAATTGCTCTAGAAAGTAGCTATATCCATGTATACTTTCTTCAGTGGTAAAAGGAATTTCAAGTGTCTTTCTACCTTTATCATTATATGAACCTTATAGATTTTTAAATTTTTACTTATTTTTAGTTACTATTTTATTTCTACTTATCTGTTGTGAAATGGTATATCACTGGTTTGCATTTCCATGGCTCCAAGAGGCATTACACTCCTTTTAGTATTTATTGACCACCTGGCTTTCTTCTTCTGTGAATTTTCTGTTCATATCCTTTGCCCACCTTCTAACAGGCTGTTGCTTTACAGAGAACTGCCTTTCAGTGCTGGTAACATAAACCAAAAGCTTCCCTCCTCAGTGGTAAAAGGTAAGCATTAGCAGCCCCCTGTCCATGCCAGTACTTTCTAGGCTCCTGCACATCCATTCCAGAATGGAATCTTGGAGATATGTGGTTGCCATGACAAGGGACAACATCTCAAAGGATTCCTTTGCTTGATTATTTTACTTTTGGCTAAGAGGTAAAGATTCTCTTCACTACCCTGCCTTGCCAACAAGAACAGGAAAATTACACACCAGTAAGTGATTTTTCTCCTATTAATCCTTCAGTTCATCAAAAGTCATCTTCTTTCTAGCCTTGACTATTTAGTTTTTGTTTTGTTAAAAGAAAGAAGTATGGATATATTAGAATATCTCACCATGAGCTCTCTTCTAAAGTTCTTACCAGATTTACTGATTGGAAGAGTTCATCTTTGTTAATTAATTTCTTAACTTCATGTCTATTTGCTTTTCCACCATCAGACTACATCCCTAACCTTGAGCACTTACATTAATTCAGAAAAGTCTGAACTGCCCATGAATTGACATCCACCAATGTTTTGTCTTACCCTGAGCACTCAAGCTCTAAAATTGAACCCCCATCCCGAAAACATTTCACTTTCCTCAATGAAGGTGGATTTCAAGGAGTCAGGAAATAGAAAAGTTTATCAGGTAGTGAAAAGCTCATGAGACTAAATAGTTTAAGTAGCAATAAAAATGTTGGTCACAATTTATTTATTAAAATAAATCGTACACGTAAAAATATAGAATAGGAAAAATTATATCACAGGGAAAATTCTAGATCTGTCCTAAAATTTCTTCATGTATGTATTTAATCATGTGAGATTTTTAACTGAATTCTGCCAATATCCTAAGGCCAGAGGACTTTGAGTGTCTAATCAGGTAGCAGTCGATGACAACCACTTCATCCCACCACGTGAATTAATACTACATCCTGTTCACTTAAAATGCTGAACAGAGCCTGACTTTCTGACCTACAGGAACTGTCAAATAATACATGGGTAGTTTTTAAGCTGTTAAGTTTGTGGTAATTTTTATACAGCAATAAAAAATTAATATGATCTACATACCATGCAACATAGTGGCATCAAAATTTATAACTCAAAACAAAACTATAGGAAAGTTACTGGTTTAATACAAAGTATTCTTTTGCAGCATTAGTAGTAGAAGACTAACTCACCTCTGTCAACATGACATCGAGGAGTCATAAAATAAGTGAGAGTCCAAGATACAGTAAAGACACAGGTGAGTGCTTGTGTATGTGAGTATGTGTGTGTGGGGGGGGAGGGAGGCCCACATCTCAATCCCTGTCCATGAAAACAAATAACGTATTTTTTTTCCTAATGCCCACAAAAAGGTATATTCATAAAGGATAACCATATATATTAGGCTAAATATTACTGTATAAATTCCAAAACATAGAAATAGCAGAAGTGTTCTCTGATCACAACACAAAAAAATTTAGAAAGCAATAAGGAACTATGAAACAAACACACGCACAAAAAAAGCCTACCATTTGCCATCTAAGACATTTTAAAGAAGTCTTCAAAGAGGAAAATTAATACAAATATTACAGACTATTGACAATATTCCATATTAGAACCTATACCATAGAGCTAAAATGGGATAATGAGAAAAATCCATAGCCTTAAATGCTCAGAATAATAAACCAGAAATAATGACAATAAATAAATCAAACACCCAAAACAAGAAGTGAGAAAAAGAACAACAGAATAAATCCAAGAAAGGCAGAAGGAAAGAAAGCCTATATTAGAGATGAAGCCAAATTCTTGAATTTTATAAGAGAAAAAGCAGGACTAATGAATTAACTCAAAGTCTGATGCTGTGTCATGATGAGGACATTTTACTTCTGTGATATTTTTTTTGAAATCCTGTATTTCCAGTCTAATCATGAGGGAAAATACCAGGCAAATGCAATCTGAGTGATATTCTACAAAATACCTAACCAGTACTCTTCAAACGCTCGGGGTCATGAACAAACTGTCATGAACGAGGAAAGATTGTAAAACAGTGACAGGTAATACGAAAGGAATTGAAGGAGACGTGGTGACCGCATGCAATGAGGGATTCCGGATCAGATTCCAGAACAGATAAAGAACATCAGTGGAAAAATTAATGGGGTCCAAATGAAGCCGATAGTTTAGTTAATAAAACTGTACCAATGTTAATTTCTTAGGCTGATGAATGTGCCTTGGTTAAGCAAGCTGATAACATTAGAGGAAACTGTCAGTGAGACATGTATGAGAACTCTGTTCTATCTTCGCAACTTTTCTGTAAACCTAAAATTATTCTAAAATGTAAAAAAAAAAAATGTTTAATGAATTACAGGAGACCTAGAAAATCTAAACAGAGTAATTAAACCAGAAGACATAAAAATAATCTTCAAAGGGCTACCTCCTCAACCAACCAAACAAACAGGAAAAAAAAACCATAGCAGGTCCTAAAGCTTTTATACAGGATTTTACCAAACATATCAATAACTAATGACTCCAATTCTAATTAAATAATTTTAATAACATAAAAGAAATTTAAAAGGCACTCATATGCTTTCCCATGAAGAAAATAGCTCAAAAATAATAAAGCCTTTTCCTTTTCAATTTTAATATACTTCATTTTTTTCTATTTTCTAATAATGGTGGATGGAATGTCCAGAAATGGCAAATGATAGTAAGCAGTCATATTTGACTTGTTCTTTAATGAGAATGTTTCTAGTTATTTCCTTATTACACCTGGTTATGGCTTTTGTGTTCATATACCACATTAAGAAATTAACTGCATATGCATTTAAGAATTCCAATCAGTAAAATAGATTTAAGACTACCAGAAATTTTTTCCTCAATAAAAATGATGATGTGAATTCTCTTTTTTTAAGCAGTTAACATTGAGAACTGTATTATAGGCCTCCTTTTATTGAGCCCTCCTTGCATGCTTGGGCTCGGTTATAGTTCAGCATTCTTTTCACGTGTTTCTGTATCCTGTTTGCTAATCTTTTCCTTCAGTGTCGTTCAGGAACATTCCGAACGAATTTGTCTGAGGTTTGGTGTGCGTGGGGGGATGTGCTGGGCTTTGCCACTGAGGTCATGCCAGCTTCAGATGTCGGGGTACTCCCTGCTCAGGGGTAAGACATTAAGTGTATTTCAAGAAATGGAGTGTTATTTCCTTTTAACTGGCTGTCCTCTTCTCCCCGACTAGTAACTAACCTCCAGATTCTGCAGTCCTGCGTGAAATGGCACCACCTGGTAAGTTATAGTCTGTACGGACATTAATGTAACCAAAATCTCTTGGGGGAGATATTTCTCTCCATCATGAGGCTGTCATAATTAATGTTTAAAATACGTGTGTCCGGGGAAAGTGAAAAAAATGACAGTTTGGTCGAACACTGTTTTTAGCTTTTCCTCCCTACAAAGCCATGTCTCGTGCACCGCGCCCCTGGAAAAGACCTTCAACAGCGCTTCGGAAGGAGGGAAGCCAGCCCACCCACGGGCTGGCCTCTTCTCACCACTGCGGAGGTCCTTCCCACCAAACTGCATCACGGCAACGCGCTCCCCCTCCCGGGAGCATGCCTGCACCTCTCCCTCCCCCTTCTTCTTCTTCTCCTTCTCCCACAGGCGTGCACCTCCTAAACTCCGAGGGGCCCCATAAGACCTGCAACCAGGGGGGCCGTGGGCGGCGGCCGCTCGTCCCAGGCTCACCCCTAGGACCCGCCCGCAAGGCCCCTTGCCTCTGACTCTCCAGGGAGCTGACGGCGCCCTGCCTGGGCTCGCTGCTTTCCCACGGCTTTGCTGGAGCCAACGCAGCCCTGCCGACGTTCCTGCTGCTGCTGCTACTTTAGGCCTATCCCTGTTTCACTGTCCCCAGACTTCATAAACATACTCTCCACGTGGAAGGAAGGAAGAGAGAAGGGAGGGAGGGAGGGAGTCATGACCAACAGGAAGAGACAAGGAGTCTTGGGGAGTACAGATATTTCCCCGTTCACAGCCACAACCCCAGAGATACAAAAAAGAGCGGCGCTGTGAGAGAGAAAGCCCCTTCCCACTCCAACACCCGCGAACACCACGGCACGTCTACCGTGTGCCGGGCGCGCTCGGAGGGCTTATCCACGAACAACTCGTTCCGTCCTCCCCACACCCGACAGGCCACCATTATCCCCACGTGGCAAACAAGGCAACCGAGCCAGCAGGTGACCTGCTCGGGGTCACCTAACTGCCAAGGGTCAGAGACAGGACGCAAACTTCTGAAGCTGGTTTCCAGGGTCATTGGGGTCAGCACCACGCTACCCTCTGTCAACCCTGAAACCGAGAACCTTGCCGGCCTCGGGAATGGAGGGAGACCTGTAAATACATGATGAGCTGGGAGATTCTAAATACACAGGATTCAGAAGTAATAATGATGGTGAGGCCGTTTTCGTAACTAAAAGACAGCAATTCACGGACTCTGTCAGAAAGGGCGACAGTCACTCAGGAGGGATTTGAGGGTCGAAGGTCGACAGAGACAGGAGGGCAGAGCGTCCAAGCAGCAGTTACAGGGAAAAAAGCGCCATTTTCTAGTCTCCTCCGCCAGAGAGTGTCATTAACATTCCTCTCTGTGCACATTCCGTCTCTGGAAGGAGGCCCAGGAAACCAGCCGCAGCTGTGCAACTCCAGGTGGGGACCTGGAGGCTCGGGCCACTGTTTACCCATTTGTGCTTGTGTGCGCACTGCTTTTTAAAATGTTTACATAAATCGGGCACACTGCTTTAAAAGCTTACTGAAAGAGATGCTTCCACAGACCACATAGTTCCATCGCTGGGTCAAACTAGGCATTTGTTACCTACATTTTTTGCAATAGGGGAATAGGAAAACGCAAGAAGAACCGCAACGCGCAGTGCGCACTGCGTAGTCACACTGGCTCCGCCGTAGTGGCTATGGTTTCACGAGCTGTGGGAGTGGCGGGTGGACTCAGCTGTCTCAGAGCCTGGCCCTGGCAAGGGTGGTGGAGCCGTGACGCTGGCAGCAACAGCACAACTACGTCCAGGAAAACCCCAGCACAGGCAGCCAGCCCTGCGGGTAAGGGCGCGGAATATGCACGCCCCCAACTCAGGTGCCCGTCTCTCCACACTTTTCGGTGTTTTGCTGTTGTCTAGACTCTAGTGATCCAGAGGCGAGGGGAAAGGTGCAGGCGCACATCGCATTCCAGAGGACCAAGCCCATGGCTCCCTTTGAGCATCCCCAGGACGGTTTGGGAATTATTAGAGGGGAGTTCAAATTTCCTCAAAATAATTATTATGATAATCCCATTTTCCTGCAGGCTAAGGTGGCATCAGAAAAACACATGTGCTTGGAAACATCTGAGATTTAAGGAACTAGTTAAATTGGCATGACTCCAATTTTTCTGGCCAAGAATGACAACAGATAGAGAACAAAAATGTCAATGATATAAGATATATATAAAAAACAGGTGGTCAGCTTAGAGAAGAAAGCCAAAATAATAAATTTAGAAGCTTAAGGCCCACCAGATTGGTCCTAGCACCTAGCGCTCTGAAATATATTACAAAGTACAGGTTTCCAGGATTGTGGCTGTTTTATCATTTATCATGTACTGCGGCTTCCAGTGAAGATCCGTAGTGATTAGGGAGGAACTGAAAATGAGACAAAAGAGAACGTAGCCCCAGAAGAGAAGTTAAAGGCAGGAATGATAATCACACCTCCCCAGGGGGCCCTGAAGAATTGCTGGGAATACCGGTGAGCATGTTACACATTCGAAACAATAGCAAACTTGCGGCTCATTCCTACTGCTCACTAGAATGGCACCCCTGGAGAAGCCGTCTGTGTGAGCCCACCCGCCTCACTGCTCGCCCCTGCATGCGTTGGCCTTTGCATTAAGTGAACGTGAGCGGCAACGCAGCCCAAGAGAAAGTGCCTCAACAAGGAAGGGAGGTGCTGAGGACCAGTGACTCAACAGAAGATGGGATGTGAAATAAAAGGGGCGGAATAACAACATGGTGAGGGAGTTGTAGTGACAGACTTGGTTCCATGAAGAAAAGAGGAGCTGGCAAACAGATTGGGAGCGGAGGGCCATGTTGTCATAGAACAGCCGAATGACAAGGGTCACAGTGGTGTGCCGAGGAGCACCTGGTAATGAGCATTCCTCGCACACCGTGCCTGAAAACGCTCATTCTACGAGCACGTGTGGTTAGTCAGAGAAGGCCAGCACTTAGCACCGTGGGTTGAAACTGCAGTTTGTCTTGTCTCGACACATCGATGAGCCCTTGGGCTTATATCCCCGTCCAAAATGGTCCCACTCGTGCAGTCCAGTATGATCCCATGATGCCACGAGTCTCCCAGGTCTGCTGTCATGGAGTCCTCTCATGGAGTCCTCTCTTTTTCCTGATACAGGAGCACAAGGCTGCCAGCCTCTGGAACGCATACACAGGCGTCCTAAATGATCAAGCCTTAATCCTGTCCATAAACTCCAGGTATCGTAAACTGCAACTCTCTTATTCCACTGATTGACTGTCTTTAAAAAGTAACAGAGAAAAATCACAACTGTGAAAAATAAAAAATTATTCCAAATTCCAGCCTCCTAACTCAGCAAGCATTTCTTTCTTTCTATTCCAATCTTTTTGTATTGCATGGATAGACAGATAATTTAATTATTCCTGAATCATAAGTAGATTGCACACTCAATTTTCTGTAATACTTTTGATTTTGGCTTTTTTTTTTCTTGTAATCATTTTCATTTTAATGACAGGATAGTATTCCCAAAATTTGAAATTTTCTAAATTATGTTTTATTAAAATTATGATAATCCTCTTTGTACATAAAATACTGTATCTTCTTTGAAACACTTCCTAATTTATTAGATACATTGTATTTTGGTTTCTGTTTCATTTTATCATTTGGAAAGCAATTACTGATATACTGAGATGTAGTAGGATTTGAGGCAGGGTTATGTTTATCCTGTATTTGATTGAGCTTACCAAACTTTTTTTATTAGATCATGTCTTATTAGAAATACAAGAAACTCTAACACAGTATTTTAAAATGAGAAATTAAATCCTTATGCTGTTCCTGTTTTTAATAAAAACACACTACTTCTCAATTAGCAATGTATTCATTCTTGGTTTAAATAAAACTTTTCAAGAAATTGTTTTTTCCCTTAGAAAATGGTGTTGAGATTTATTAAATAGTCTTTCAAGTTTGATTAAAGAACTCTTATTATTTAATTTATTAATACATATATATTGATTAATAGTTTTTACAATACTGGGCCATTCTTACATTCCAATGATAAATTATGATTGGTGGTGTTATATTACTTTTATTATTTATACAAACCATTGTTCTAAAATTTTAAACTTTACACTCAAATATTAGTTAATATATTTTAGATTGCCTTTTATTATAACTCAACTTGAATAACCAGATATAACGAGATCCCTGATTTCTATTCATTAGTGATTTTTCTGGATTAATAAGCTCATTTGTTTTGGGGGGGGGGAGGGGTGTGTGTGTGTGTGTGTGTGTGTGTGTGTGTGTGTCCGTCCTAGTTAACTAGAATTTGCAAACTACTACTATACAAAAAGAAATAGTGGTTAAGTGTGAAGACTTTGAGTTCAGACAGACCAAGCTTTTGACATCAGCTCCACCACTCTCAGATTCTGTGATTTTGAAGAAGATATTTCACGTCATTACATCTCAAATTCCTCATCTGTAAGTTGAGGGCAACAGTGGTATTTACCTCCTGGCGTTGCTGTGAAGATGTACTGAGGTAATGATGCATGCAGAACAGGTAAAATGCATAGCACCTGTTGCTCAAGTCCTCAGCAGCCCTGCTTCTCAGCCTAGTCTAATATTCTTTTGGGAACCTGATGAAGCTTTTGGACCCACATAGATGCATTACACAAAACTTGCATCTTATTCTATAGGGTTCATGGACAGCAGATCCTGGATTCCATATTTTAATTTAAAATTTCTTTGTCTATGCACATAATAGTTTTCCTTTAATTTTTTTTATTTATTAAGACTTTGTTTTTTGCCAAGTATTATTTGGTATACAAAGATTCATACATGTTATATTTTCATGCATGCCTATATAATAATATAAATCGTTTCTATTAAACCCATAAAATAGCTTACTTCTTTTTTGACTAACATAGCCTTTCTTAATTATTATTGAGTTTTGATTCCTCTGATTTTTTTAATCTTTATTTAAATTTGCCACTGAGAATCATTATACTTATGATCTCCCCTTTTTCTCTTTCTCCCCCTTTTCCTCATTTTGTAAAGTATTCCTTTTGCTTAAGTCCTTCATTTTTTTTAAAAAAGACTAAACATTATGATGTTATAACATTCTTTTCTTTTTGTATTTTTCATTTTTATTGTGGTTCTTCCAGTACCCTTTAATCCCCTACACCCCTTCCTCACCATATCCTTCTTTTCTTTGATTATATTGTCTTTTTAAAATTTTAAGATGTGTTTAGTTTGTTATTTTTTCATTTTAATTGAGAAAAACTCTTGATAGTAGTTAAGTATTTTAAGACTTCGAATTCTCTAATTTTAAAAATAGATTTCTAGCACAGATTTCTCATTATAATTACAGAATGAAACATATATCCTTTCATATTTTAAAACTTTTTATGGCTCAGTGTATGATAAATATTTGTCAGCATTTCATCATTGTCTCAAAAGACAATTCTTATCTCATTTAATACATTTTATGTAAGTATAACAAGTATAATTCCGTAATTATATTCAATATCTCTTCTTTTGAAGAATTTTTATTTTTGCCTACCATATGCTAACACTTGACTGCTTAATCTTTCTTATAACTGTGTTCCTACTCTTTTTGTATTTTTTAATGATTTTCTTTAATAATTTCTATTTCTCCTTGTATCTTTAGTTATATAACATATATTTTAATAATTATATTTAATAATTTATAAATTTCATTTCTATGTGATTTTGGATAGTTCATATTATTAACTATGCTTTTTATTGTTTTAAAACAATTATACCTATTTCTCTTAATACTCTGACTTGAATTAAACACTGTGTCATATTAATATAGCCCTCTTGATTTCTTTCTGGTCACATTTAATATAATTTCCTCATGCTTTTATTAGGAGGCATCTACTTTTTTAAATTCAATTATGATCCTGGAAATCATTGCAAATATACATATTGCCTTTGTGTATTGATCTTATCTAAATAGACTTATTGCTTCATTTAAAATATTTGCAAGTTAAAAATATCAATATTTGGTCTACTTCTCACTTCACTTCAATCTTTGAAACAAATATTTAGCCCAAAAATTTAACAAAAGCAAATGGATACATTGATTTAGTTAGGAATGCATATTGTTTCTTCTCAAGTGTCTTTCTATACCATTGAAGTCACATATCCTGGAACATAAGAAAGCATTCACACTGAGATGTCACTTGTAACACACATTAGTAATTTAATGACTGCTCTTCTGGAGATGAATCACATGTAGACACCGCCCCTCCCAAAACCATACTTGCTGACCGTTGCCCAGGTCGACCCATAGCATTGCATGTGACTTTCTTCTTCAGTATGGCCAGTGTCTACTCTCAGTCTTCTTCATATTTAACACCCGAAGAGCACCTGTACACCCGCAGTTACGTGTGGCACCACAGCATCACGCTACTTTTGTAACCCTTGTTCATGACGTGAATCATTTTAGCTTTGTTTTAGGACAGTGATATGATTTCCAAGTACTTTGAAAGACACTGTTTTCTATTCCATCAAAATCTTAATTTTGCATTTTCTTAAAACAGATCATATATTCCTAGATGCTCAATACCATCCATTGAAAATTCAACTAGAAATTTCTGATAGCCGTTCAGAGCCTGATAATCCATTAGAGCCAATGAATGACAAATCAATCTTGCAGGATTTGAAAATTACCCAATATATTCCAAGATATTCCATTTCAAACAATGAGTCTCTGAGAAAGTATCTTGTCCAGTAGAGAAAAGAGATTGAGTCCCTCACAAGACTTCATACCTTACCATCTAATATCATCATCCTTTCAAAGAATAATTATTTTCACCTGAAAAAATCAGGAAGGACTGTTGTCTAGACCACATATGCCAAAGGGATAACAACTGTATCACAACTTTCTAGCTGCTGATGGGCAGGTTTCCTTTGCCATCAATTGGAAGATGCATTCCAATATCAGAAATGCTAAAATGTGAGAAACGTGATATCATGGATCAGAGAAAATGTGGCAGTAATTTATTTCAACTGCCCAATGCTGGGCATGGCTTTGTGGGCTCCGCTGAGAATGTAACCACTTTACCTGATTATGTCTGTGGAGAAAAATAGTCTGATTTCCAAATAACAGATGACAGATGTCATCCCTTTAGAGCTAAGACACCGTCACCAGTTTTCCGAGACTATTTAAAACCCACATGTCATATGGAGCCCAAAGCTGGGCCTCATTTTCCAGCCCACGCTCTCTTATCACTAAAAGAAGAAAAATCACCCAAGTTAGGTCATATTTGTTCTCTCTTCAATTCCATCATTACGCCTTTTTCTTGCCAGCTTTGTGGATCCCTTGCTGCAATTTGAAACGCAGCTGATGATAATGGAGTCAGCCTTTAAAGTGGTATTTGGGATCCCCAGTCTTGAGAAAGTGAAGGAAATGGGGGACGGCGAGGACAACGAGGACCTGGAGGTGAGAGTCAGCCCCTGGAATGGTGGCGCGACCTCTCGGGCACACCGCGTGCCGCCGGGGTGCGGCGCAGGCCTCTCCTGCGCCCGTTTAGATATGGTAGCTACACCGCAGTTCCCAGCACTGATCTCTGCCGGGCTCAGGGACACTGCGACCCACAGGCTGACGCATAGTGTAGGTTTCATGCGAACCCATGGGTGAAGGGGTTACTTGGTTGAGAAAGGGCAGGGAGTTTCCTGCAAGTTCTGCAAAGAAGGAAGTGTGAGCAGAGGAAGGTGGAGGAAGAGTCCCAGTGTAAGATCAGTAGTGCCGTGGCTGCTCTGCCCTGGGCACAGCTGTGCGGTGTGCGGCCAGGGCCTTCTGGAAGAGGCGCGGCCGTGGCTTTGGGCGAGCTCTCCTCACCGCAGCTGCGGCTCCCCATTCCTACCTTTGCTTTGTGGGGAGAACCCAGGACACCAGGGTGCAAAACCTATAGACAATGGGGTAAAATTTCGTGGAAGGCTGGCTGGCTGGCTGAACAACGTTTTTGTTTTTCAGGAATTATACCAAAGTATTTTCAACATATATGAGGACACACTCCTGATCTTAGTGTCTAAAGACTTCTACAAACTACAAATCTTAAAGGTAAAGTAAGAGGAAAAGGAGCAATTTTATCTTTGTGTCATAAATCTAAGTACACGGTACTTCACTTACTATTTCCCATTTGCCATACTTAACGTCTCCTTCAAATGTGGGGCAGCTGAAAAAAATGTTTTTCCTCCCAAGGTACACGAGTATCCCCTAAATGAAACCACCTCCCTGTATTTGAATTAAAGACACGCTCTTTTAAGAATTTAATTTTGGGAGACGGCATGAATGGATATTTGAGCAGCCAGGCGGTATGTGGCAATGTGAGCGAGAACACAGCGTGCGGCACCAGGGCACAGGACGGTCGGCCCGGACTGCGCCCGGGTCCCTGGAACAGGGGCCCGGGCTGTGACAGGGTCTCTACACATGTTCTCCCCTCGCAGCTCTGCGAAGGGGGACCCATGGCCATCTGTCCTTGTGGGTGCCATGCTCTCACCAGGGACCCTAACGGTCATTCAAAGCCCACTTTCACATCCAAGACCTCATTGTGTCCCTCATGTCCCAGCCAGAGACAGAAGACGTCTCTGGACATTGTATGGCCTTTAATTTTGCGTCCCATGCATGATGGCATCGGGGCAGCTGTCTGGAAATACTGGGAAACCAGACGCGCCTACACGGCCCGGAGGATCTGTGGGTTGTCCAAATCACAAAATACATTCAAGTGAAGATGCCAAGTTGGGGTGTGTAAGCGCAAAGACAGTGAAGGAAAGTGAAACACACTGAGCTAATCGGTGTGTAATTCGAGGCAAGTGTTTTCTGTGCACTTTAAAAATGTTAACTGCGCAGCTTTTTATACTATCATTCTTGCTCCATCATCACAGCGCCCCTCCCATGCTGCCTAGTGAGCAGTTACTGGACATCAGCCACTACGCTGGGTACTGACTACATGGGTTACGTCTCATCGGACACTTAACCCTGTGGGGTAGTTGCCATTATTTCTCCCGCTTTGCAGACGAGGACATGGAAGCAGAGAGAGGAGCAATAGTATATGCGATGCGAATGAGTGAATGAGCGAAGGAGCCGTTCTAACTTGGGAGCCTGTTACTTATGCATCTTGGTCGTACGCCTTTCACGGCTGGAAACACTCCCGATTCTCAAAATGCTCTGACCTTCACTCCCGGAAAAGGCAAAGGCGGACGCCCCTGAAATTTAGAGACACCTCTGCCCTAAGAAATGGGTTTCCAAGTGGTTTATACAACGTGGAGGGGCAGGGATGTGGCTGGCCATTGGCATGAATACTATGGACTCAACGGACTGCCTTAAGCAGCGTTAGTAGTGACCAGCCTGTGAAGCACAGGCAGACGTTTGCCCTTCCCAAGGTTGTGGATGTGCCACTGCACCGGAGGACTTAGGACGGACAGAAGTTACAGCAAGACAGACTGGAATCAAAATTTGCAAGAACTTTTTAACCATGCCGCCTCCAGAAATGTGCTGTGTAACCATGAGCCAGGAAATATCTGGGCAGTGAATTTAGAAAGAAAGTTTTGGGATGACATTCCAGGATCAGATAGCATTTCAGTTTTTTATACTGATAATCAGATCCTATGATTAAAAAAAAATTAGAGAGAATGTGTATTTTGAAAGAAAAAGAGGAAGAGCCGATGAACCCCCATCACCCTGAACTTTTCAGGGTGAGCATTAAAGGGCCTATTAGTAAACACTTGTTGGGTGGAATGGGACCAAATAAAACCCAGGTGTAGCTCCTGTAGCAGACAACGGAGTATACTAGTAGACGGCAGTATACTGGCTGGTGGTTGTGTATTTTTAAAATAAGTATAGGTTAGGTGTGAAATCATGGGAGACATGGGGCCCCTCGACGTGGTGAGGTTCCCTCTGTTTCGGAAACGCAAACACCGCGGCCCTGGGATGACTCTTGTCTTTTCAACAGGAAATGGCCATGTGGATGAGTAAAGACAGGTCCTACCTGCAGGACAGAGTCATGGTGATCATCAGCAGAGTGCTCATCTTTGCTTCCAGGAAAGTCAAGAGAAGTGTAAGTCACCGCAGCGTCTGAAGACCACGTGTCTGCAGCACCTCAGCGGCCGCGCGCGGGTGCGGCTGTGCGGGCAGGTGGGGGCACCAGGGACAGCGTCCACGTCCTGCGTGGCTCTGTCAGTCAGTCAGCAGAATCCCTGAAGCCACAGCTCGCGATCTCTCATGCTTCACGCCCACAGCAGGAGCGTGTCATGGGCAGCTTTTCACTCACTGTCTCGAGTCTCCTCTGCAGACCATGACCCATGTTATTTGTAACCTTCTCAAGTCTTCCACCCTTGGTTTCCTTCTTGTTTCTCCTTTTCTGTCATACTTTAAACGACTATTTACTTATGTTAAATTTATGCAAGTGACTCCTCAGTACTTTCACTGCAACCTGCTGGCGATGCAGACGAAGCAGCCTTTACTGCCCTCCCCATGCGAGTCCCCTCTTTCTGCGCTGGGCCCCGCGTGTCCTGCCCAGCAGCTTTCTAGCTGCCTCAGTGTTTCTTTACTAGGTCATATTTACCCGTGGTCCTGCGATTTGCTCTTTTTGTACAAATAATATGTCCTACAGATATTTTCATAGATTTATTTCATTCTTTTAACCACGGCATACACTCGATAACTTTAATATAGTAAAATCTACTTAACTATTCTTCGGCAGATGGACTTTTCAACGGGAAGGTCTGGTATATTTTTTTTTCTACTTCAAGCAACACAACAGTGGCCATCTTTGTGCAAGGGTGTGAGTGTGCTCAGGAAGACAGCAGATCAAAAGGAGTGAGTAGATGCAAGTTGAGGAACGTACAGCTGTCTCCCAGCACGTGTGCCTTCAACACTCGAGTGGCTACTCTGTCACACCTTCACAAACACAGGGTTCTCGTCAGGCCGCTTTGCCAGGGCCTTTCAGGTGGAGAAGGACCAGGGTCTCCCACCTGCTGATGCGGACCGGGGTTGTCCGCATGTGGAATGACCTTCTTGCCTGCCTTTCATACCGTCTGCAAACATGCCTCCCCCTTGCAGATACGCAGCGTCTCTTGGTAGCAGTTGCAAAGCTCACTGTCCCCTGCCCACAGCCCACCCCGCCACTGTCAAAGCACAGATGTGTAAGCTCACACACACTGCTGAGGGCTCCCAGCTCCGACTGAGGCTTGTCTGAGAAGCCGGGTGGGGCCCCCACCGCTCTGCCCTGCAGTGCCTGCCTCGGGCCACCAGGTGGAAGCAGACCGGCGCAGGCCAGAGCGCGGGGCCGCAGCTCCGGCTGGGGGCGAGGCACGCCTCGCCAAAGGAACCTCCTTTCTCAAGAATGTCTTCTAAAGGTGGCTAAGGCGATGATGTTAATGGGGGTGGGGGAGTGAGTATATAAAACAAAACGATCAAAAATATTAATACCTTAAATATTTAAAATATTTTAATAAATTAAAAGCTGATGATAATGGAGTCTGAGGACGTTTGTGGAAGAAAAAGTGATCTTTTCAGTTATACTTCTGGACCCTGACCCAGGTCACTTCACATTCTTCTTCAGAACAACTGTGTTTGTGTAAGAGAGAGAGACAGACAGACAGAGAGGTGTGGGCGGGCCAAGCAGCAGCAGAGACGGGGGTAAGGGCCCACGAGAGAAGTAGAAGGAAGGACCACCAAGCCTTGGGACCCCCTAGAGGACCGGCTTGACTCTAGTTTTACCACCAACATTTGCACCAACCATCAAAGTATTTATCTAGGAAAAGTAACCACTTGTCTTAGAGACAAGAAGATTCTGCAGGCCCACGAGCTTACCAAACCTACATGTGGACAGAGCCCTTTAAAAACAGAACATAACAAAAAAAAATTTAGTAACTCTACTGCAACCTTCAAGAAGCAAAATGTCTCTTCCACCTCTCTTTTGTCTCCACTGCCACCGTTTTGCATTTAATCTGGTCAAACAAATCACTCAAGGTGAAAACCTAAATATTTGAGCAGCCTACATTTTAAGGACATGGCAGGGAACAATACTTCAGTGTGTGCGAGTAGCTTTGCATCAGAAGTCAGTGCTCTGAATTTTAAACAATGAATTTCCCTGGGAAGAATCAGAGCAATTTCAGGAGGAAAAGTCACGTTTCTGCAGTGGCTGAGAGACTCACCCAAAGTTTCCCATACAGGGAGAGGAAAGCCCGCATGTGCTTGGGTATCGACCTCCATGACTTCCCCCCAGGTATCCTAGGAATCTGCTACCTGCCGGTTGCTACCTGATTTATGAAATGCAAACTAATAGCGACTCACCAAGCCACTGTTAAATGCGAACTAATATTAGTGACTCAGCAAGTCACTGTTATCTCTGAGCACTTGCTACAAACTTTCCTTCCTGTCATCTACCTTACCCCCCTTAGTCTCCATAATAAGTGTTACAAGATAACATTTGTTACCTGCAGTTAGCAGATTTGGAACCTACATAGAGAGGAACCTAAGGCTCAGTAACAGCACCAAGTCGGGCACACGGCTTCTGTGCACCCTCAGGCTCACCTTTTCCTCAGCCTGGTGTGTATGTGAGAGAGTCAGGTACAGACGTCCAATGCTGACTCTGCACAGCAACACATTTCGCCCTTTGTTTTCTGCCAGGCAAGTGTGGATGTCCCCTGCCTGGGGGTGCTGGCAGCAGAGCTGTGCCTCTTGTGCTCACACACCAACCGGCGCATCACCGAGCAGGCGTCCTTGGGAATGTACCACCTCCTGTGCATCGCCAAGCATCAGAACGGTAAGGTCGAGTCACCCTCTTCATGAAGGGTCACTGAGAATCTGTTGCTAAAATAAGAACCCCCCCAAAAGAAAATAGAAAGCAGAAAAACAATAAGAGAACAGCAATGAAGCCAAAAACAGAGGGGAGAGAAGCAGAGAGAAGACACAAATTACCAGTATCAGGCATAAGAAAAAAGAGGTCACTAAAAATTTGATGGGTATTAAAAGAATAGTAAGGGATATTATGAACACCTTCGTGCCAATTTGACAAATCAGACACATTTATTGGAAACACAAATTACCAAAGATCCCTCGAGAAGAAATAGATAACCTGAATATCCTACATCTAACAAAGAAAATGAACTTGCAGTTAAAAACTTTCTTACAAAGAAAACTCCAGCAAACATTCAAGGAAAATTATACCAATTCTATACAAATTCATGCAGAAATGTGAGGATGAAGAAATACTTTCCAACTCAATCTAGGAGGCCAGCATTATTCTAATACCAAAACCACATAAAGACATTACAAAAAAATAAAAACAAAAACAAAAAACTACAGACCAATGTCTCTCAAGGACATAGATCCAAAACTTTTTAGTAAGTTTAGCAAATCAAATACTGCAATACATAAAAAGAATAATATACCATGGCCACTTAGAATTTATCCCAGGAGTGAAATATCAAGTTAACATTTGAACATCAATCAATGTAACATGTTATATTCACAGATGAAAGAAGAAACTATATGATCATATCAGTAGACATAGAAAAAGCATTTGGCAAAATTAAGCATCCATTTCTGATTTTTAAAAAATACTCTCAGAAAACTAGAAATAAAAAGTGAGCATCCTCTACCTGCTGAAGTACACCTGTGAAAAACCTACAGCTAACATACTTGATAGTGAAATACTGAACGATTTTCCCAAAAGACCGGGAAAGAGACAAGGATATGCGCTGTTAGCACTTCTATTCAACACCGTGCTGAACGGTCCTGAAACAGATCCACACATATATGGTGAAATGAATTTTGACCAGGCAAGTCCGTGGAAAAAGGATACATTTCAATAAATAGTGTCTAGAAAATTGGTCATTTCATACGATGATGGGGGGTAGTGAACCCACAATATGCAGATTATATACCATAGAAATGTACACTTGAAACTCATATATTATTAACCAATGTCACCCCAATAAATTGAATTTTAATAATTGGTTATTTGTAGGCAAAAAAGGAAGTTTGATCTATATCTCATACATGTACAAAAGCTAATTCAAAATGGCTCATAGGACTAAATGTAAAACCTAAAACTATGAAACTAGAAGAAACCTTTGTACCTTGGATTAGGCAAAGATTTCTCAAATACAATACCAAAAGCATAACTCATAAATGAAAAAAAAAATTAAGAATTTCTGCTCTTTGAAAGACCCTGTTAAGAGAAAAGGTAAGCCATGGACTGGGAGGAAACATTTGCTAGTTGCATAACTGATAACAGACTTGTACCCAGAATTTTAAAACACTCCAAATCCAATAAGAAAACAGAGTCAAATTTAAGAAAAATAGTAGATTTGAATAGTTACTTCACCAAAGAAATACAAATGTCAAGGAAACATACCAAACCATGTTCAATATACAGTCATAAAAGGAATGTAAATTCAAACTGTCACAAGACACCATGGGACACCCCTTACAATGTCTGAAGCTGGAAAAACTGTCCATGCCACATGTGACTAAAGATGTGAGGAACTGAAACACCCACACTGCCAGCAGATATGTTAAATGATACAACTTTGGAAAGCCATCTGGCAGTAACCTAAAAGGTATACACACACCTACCATATGCTCCAGTCATTTAACAATCTGGTACTTACCTACAAGAAGTGAAAACAAATATTCATAAAGAGACTGGAGCATGCACGTGAACAGCACCTTTATTTGTAATAGCCAAAAACTGGAAACAACCCAAATGTCCATCAATCAGCAGGCAATTAGACAAACGAGTGATGGTATACACAGAGCAGAATAGCATTCAGTGAAGAGGAATGAACGTCTGATACATCCAACAGCATGGATGCATCACAGATCATTCTGCCACCTGACAGATGTCAGACAACAAAAGAGTACATACTAGGCAACTCCACTTGCATAAAATCGGAAAATACAACCTTAACAGAAAGCAGATCAATAGCTGCTTTTGGATCCACCCGGGGGCAGATCCAAGGAAGCAGGTGTGTTACCAAAGGGCATGAGGAAACTTTTGGAAGTGGTGACTCAACATTGTTTCATTTTATACAGTAATGTTTTCGTGAATATATAGGTACATAAACACTTAACCAAATGGTAGACTTTAAATATGTTGTGTGTCAGTTATATCTCTGTAAAGCTGATAGCAAATGAAATCATTTAAAAATCCAGCTTCTCTGGAACCAAAGACACCTGCCCCTGAAGCTCTGGTGGAGAGCTTCTGGCTTTCCTGCAACACGCCCCCCACCCCCCCACCCCCGCCCAACCCCGCTGACCCCGTCACCCAACCGCCACCACCAGCCCTGGCTGAACACCTCCAAGTCTGCTCTTCTACCAGCGGGCTCTCCGGTAGCTTTCTGAGAGCCCCAAACGATGGCTCGGGGACCTACCCTATCGGCACCTGTCCACCTATGGACTCGTCTACGTTCTTCATTCCCATTGCACAGAGGCCTCTCCTCCAGCACTGGGTGAACCTAGGCCCCTGCAGCCCAGCCCTGATAGTTTACATGACCAAACTGCCACCGGGGTGCTAAACATCCAGGAGACTTCCAATCTCCAGAACTGGGCAGGAAGAGGAAACTGGAAATAGCAGTGTCATAGAAGGAACCAGGGATCGAATTTAAAAAATTATTAAACTCTTTTCCTTCATACAGATGATATTATACAAAATACAACTGCTAAGTATGAGCAGTCTGGAAGCCACTGTTTCCTGTCTTCTCCCTCTGACATAGAATTCCTGCTCAACATCTTGCAAGAAGACAAAACTAAAGTTGCTCAGGTAACTTAGCCCCCGTTTTATCTTACGCTTTCGTTTCCTGTGTAGTAGTATTTTCTGTGACAGCTTATTGCAACATAATTTATACTTTAACATTGTTTCATTATATATGGAATATATACAAGAAATATGCAATGAAAGAAAATATCATTCATCTTTCTTAACTGAGAAATGCATAATCATGTAACTTTGTTCACAATTTCTGTTCCATGGCCCATGGATATTCTTCTAACTTGAAAAGGCGTTGTTTGAATGGCCGTTTTTGTGCCTCACTCATGGACTCCTGGGCCTTTGTCCCTCCCGGGGAAAGAGGAAGGTCCACACTCCTTCCCACCCCAGCCTCTTCTGTATCTTCTATGTTTGTCCCTGAACTGAGCAAAATTGTTTCCAAAGCTGAAAGGGCTTAAGATTTCTAATATGTGAGTGGCTGAGTTGGGGTAAAACCAGGATTTCATGGTTCCTCTTGGCCTCAATGCTACGGTTTTCCCCTTTCTCCCGCGCCTGCCCTCAGAGCTGACTTACTCAGGTGAAAATGTTTTAATTGCTTTAAACATCTTAATTAATTAATTAATTAATTTAGTTTGAACTACAGTCATCTTGAGACCAGCACAGTGTAAATGATCGTTTTTAACATTTTTTAATGGAGGACGAGGCCCAAAACAGCACAAGTGACTACAGCCTGCAAAAACCATGCAGCACCCCCAGCGCCAGGGCTTCCCCGCGGTCCCTGAGGTCGGGGTGAGGAGGCGGGGCCCGCGGTCACGGCTCGCTCTCTGGGTTTCAGAGCATAGGGCAGATGTTGCTGCCGTCCTTGCTGACTGACTTCGTGTGGAGTCTCCTGACCCGACTCTCAGCGCCGGACCACGGAGTGGCGAAGGAAGCGGCCACCATGCTGAAGCTGACGCTGGAATACCACGCCCACAAGGTCACCATGGTGAGACACTGGCCCAGGGCTCCGCTGGTCTTCGGTGTAGATCTGCTTCTTGTCATATGCAGTCCTGGCCACTGCATCGTCATGTCATTAATGACGCAAGGTTTTTTTGGTGAAATATTTCAAGCATACAGAAAAGCTTAGAAAATAACGTAATGAACATTTTACCCGCCCATCATCCAAATCATAACATCTTGCCATATTTACTTCAAATTTTTAAAAGAAATAATGTTAGCCCTGGCTGGTGTGGCTCAGTGGATTGAGCGCCGGCCTCCAAACCAAAGGGTCGCCGATTCGATTCCCAGTCAGGGCACAGGCCTAGGTTACAGGCCGGGTCCCCAGCAGGGGGCGCACAATATGCAGCCACACATTGATGTTTCTCTCCCTTTCTCCTCTCTAAAAATAAATAAATAAAATCTTTTTTTAAAAAAAGAAACAATGTTAATAACAATAAACTAGTACAGCTATAATTCAAATTGCCCTCGTAGCCATTAAGGGGAGTTTTTAAGGGCCCCCCCGCCTGCTGTCGGCTGGGCCCCAAAGTGAAACGTGGGACTTCTTGTTCAAAACACAGGAGGAAGTGCCATGAAAGGCACACGCACACGATGCCCTTCCCTTGTCTGTCTGCCTCTCTTTCTGTCTGTCTGTCTGACACTCTCTCTCTCTCTCTCTTTCTTTCTGTTTGTCATGGTGTTTTTATTTAAAGGCTTTCTAAGTAAAAAACAACTAAAATTTAAATTATTGGTATGAATTTTACCATCCATCTTTATGTTGTGCAATTCCAATTACAGATGTAAATATAAGAGCATTTAACTCAACAAAATGATGCAGTTCACAGCTCCACGTGCATGGTTTTCATCCTTACCAGAAGATGGGCAAGACTACAGAACTCCACTGTTTTTATTTCATTTCTTGTCATTCACACATTGTATTGACATTCCCTACCCTCAGCTCATGGATGGGGAAGAAAGGCTGGAAGGGAAAGGATGTACGTGTTCCCCATCTTTCCCTTCCCTTCCCTTCCCTTCCTCACCTGAGTGCCCACCTCACACGCATTCTGACTGCCCACGGAACCCCTGCGCACCCCAGGTCCCCTGGGGTCCTGGGCACAGGAACCACGGCTGACTCACAGATTACACTCATCTCCTCTGCTCACATGTGTGCTCCACTGTCCCGTGGGAGTTCACTCCCAAAACACAAACGCAAAGACAAAAGCACTAAAAATTGGGAGAGGGCATTAGCTGAGCTTTAAACAAAGTGAGGGACTGTCTGAGATGGGACCCTGCACAAAGACACAGGTCACACACCCCTGAAACCAGCCCCAGTGGCGAGAGGAGGGTGCAACTTCATCTCCCACTCCCAACCTCGCCGTGCTCCGTGCCTGAACAGAAACAAGAGCTCGGGCTCCGGGTCAGAGAGCAGCAGGGGGCAAAGCTCCTTGCAGGTCCCCAGCGCCACCACCACGGGGCGCGCTGACAGCAGGCGTGGAACCAGGGGAGAGCAGAAAGGCAGTGGGCATGTCCGTGACAAAGGAGAGCTCTTCCCTCCCACGGTGGGACAGGGAGGCTGGGGAAAGCCATGCCTAGTCCCTGGAGAGGAGAGAAGCCAAACCAGCCAGCACGAGAGTTAAATCATTAGACACGGAAAGAAAACCTCAACAGGCAGGCAGGCAGCAACTCAACACCCGGCCCAGCTCCCACAAACCACCAAATTACTGAATCACATGGACTCGTTTCTTAAACAGGTCCGAAAATCAGTAATAGTAAGAAACTGCATGTGGCTGAACCTGTCTCCCCAAACCCCATAAAAGGCACACCCAGCTTGTGGCCTTACAGTCTCTAAATAAGGGAGGTCTTTCCTCAAGGGTCACAGCAGGCCATTGCTTCTGTGACAGGGCAGTGACAGGGCTGGCTTGTTTGGGGGACACGCTGCTTTCAGAGGCGGCAAGGAGAGGAAAGGGCTCTAAACCCAGCAGTCGACAGGTTCAGGGACGAGAGTAACGGTTCGGTGTCCCCTGTTTCCGGTCCCCTTGGTGCATGCATTGGGGAGGGATCTCTGTGCTACCTAGCGCTTCACCTTTTTTCTTTCGCTTGGAGCAGTGGATAGAGCGCGCATCGCTGAATTGTATCTGATGCAATCACAACAGCATATTCATGTACTTTTCATAAACTTTTCAGCTTATGGCTTCTGGGGAGTATTTTCAACACAACACGTGAACTGGGTGGATGACATCTGATGCTGAACATCCAAGCGTTGATCTGGGACAAACTCCCAGGTCTTACTCGTGCTCAAGAATGAATAAAAATGGGAAAAAATAAAACATGGGGCCTATAAACAGAATTTCCTAGATTATGACTCAGTGCCTACTATTCTGGGCCATCCCTCCAACACACATTTCACTCGTTCAGTATGGAGATGTAAGTTGCCTTTAGTTGTCAAAAAAAATTTTTTGAAGTATATAGTTCCACTGTTATTCTCTTTCATTATTTTGACTTTCTTCTTTAAAAGTATGAATTATATCTAGGTCTTCTATATTGAGTTTATATGTCTTATATAATAAAGTTGTGTATACGCCCCAAATCAACTTTTTGTAAAACTGGGTATTTTTCCCCACTATCAATAAATGCGCAGATAGGCTTATTCCTCAACCAAATAAGTATTTTGCTCTGTGTGGCCATACACATAGATATGCTTTCCATTAGCACTTTCTTCTGTGTTAATTGCTTGCTACCTTGGTAATTCTGAGAAGGACTGAATTCTTACGTCCAAGAAACGCCTTGGTTCAGCAGGGACTGTGGGCCAGGAGACTCCGGCTGACCTGTGGAATTACTTTTCCAGGTGTCTAAGATTGTGGACCTTATTTATAGGAAACTGTGTGAGAATTCGACTCAAGTTATGAAGCACACTATGCTGCAGGTCATCACCTTGTTGACACGTACCTCGCCAAAAAAAGTCATCTTTCAGCTGATGGACTACCCAGTCCCTGCGGACAAGTAAGGCCCTCTCGCCCCTTCCACAAGGGGTTGCTCACAGTGTCCAGAGCCAGACAGACCTGGACACGCCAGGCCTGGCTTCCTCTTTCCTGAAAGGGAATATCTACTTCTGCAGCACATAGGGTGACTGTAAGCCTTAAGTAAGATCACACATGTCATTCATACACTTGTATGATACCTGGCTCACCATGGACCATCAGGAAGTGGTCGCCGTATTGATTAGCTGAGTTTTTGGGCTCTGCCTATCCGACAGAAACAAACCTCCCCTCAAAGCAATAAGGAGTCGTTCTCCACATGTGATAAAATTCATAGTGTTCTTTTCTCATTTAGGAAAGACAGACGGAAGATATTTCCACCCACCACTAAAATAAGGAAACACTAAAAATTTCCCAATATAATTCGAAGTCTTCATCCCTTACCTGTTTATCTGAAATTCAGGACCCAGGGTCACAGGAGATATTTAAGAAAATAGTGCTAACGTGAGCCTAACAGGGCAGTGACTAACAGGCACATGAGAAGAGGTCAGTAAATTACATCACTGTTTCTACAGTCTGTGCATTGGAAAGGAAGGTATTACTTCTCCACTATGAATACTGTGAAATGCAGAAAGTGATATTATATTTAGAACAGATTTGGGCTTTGGAAAGAAAGGAATCTGAATTCTACCCCAGCTATGCAAGTTTCATCAACTCCTTGATCCTCAATTTCCTCTTCTGTGAATGGAGAAAAGGTCATTTTATGTATAAAGCTGTTACATGGGATCAATGAGTTAACATCTGTGAAAAGGCATCAAAATCAACAAAATGCTAAACCAATTCTATGACTGACTTTCTTTTTCCAGCTGAAAGATTGTATTTATTTAGGAAGCTTAAACTCACAACAAACATTGAGAAAATTCCTAAAAACTAAAAACCTTCGTAAGACTCAGTGGTGTTCACTCAGGACCTGAGCACTGTGTGTGTGTACAGTATCACCAGCCTTCTGGCATCTTGTTGAGGGGAGAGAACACACCCACGCAGCCATGAGATAACAGCTCGCAGTGAATCTAGTACAAACAACACGCATTGAGGAGGTGCAGAAAGCAAGACGGTTAGAGTTAGGTGAACTGACTTAAAGTAGCCCCAAACAGGTCGTGTGCAATAGCAGCTGAGGTAGCAAAGAGGAGGGCTAGGAGGCAGGCTAAACTGGAGAAGGAGAAGGGAGCCCTGGGCAGCCAAAGGCATGACCAAGAGAAGAGGGGCATGTGAGATCCTGTGTCCGCGTGCTTGCCAGAGTGCTTCTAAGAGGTCAGGGGGCAGGGGGTGAGTAACAGGTTCTAGAGAACGGGGCGTGTCCCTGTTCCGGGGCCCCAGGCCCTCACATAGGAGGAGCCTCAGGGCAGAGAGGCTGAGCGACAGGGTGCAGGCCCCAGCATGGCTTAACAAGACACCAGGAACACCCTGGCATGGGGGCACATAGCAGATTCAGGATGAGCTGCAGCGAGAACACCCTTGAAGAGCGGCTGCGTGTGCAGACAAAGCAGCTACGGGCCTGGAGGCTGAGAAGCCCTGGGTCTAGTCACATCCATGTCACCGATTACCTGCGTGACAATTGGCAAAGTGGCTCGCTCCTCCGAGCCATTCATTTAATTTTAATTAACTTCACATCTCATTTTCTAATCGTTTCATTCACAGAGGTAGTTTTTTACCTATACCTTTTTTCAATCAGCATATTTGTCTGCTAATTTTATTTTCATACCGGTTTTTAGATATTCTATTATCCCTGGACAAACTGGGTCCTGAGGTGGGAGGAAGGCGGCGGGGCCGGCGGGGGGGGGGGGGGGGCGGGGGCGCGGAGCAGAACGCCGGCCAGTCCTTGATGTTGAGCAGAGCAGATACTCAGAAGTGAACTGGCAGGCGTTGCAGGCTGCAGTTTTATTACTGAAAGTCTCCTTCTGTTTTCACTGACAAGAAATGCAACGGGGCCGTTTGAAAATGGACACATGAGCTTGTTTAGGGTTTGTCTGCAGGGTCTTTCCTGCTAGAAAGAGAGGTTGACCCAGAGCCATTCCCGACTCACGTTGCGGGATTAGCAGGAGCGGCCTGGGACTCACGGGTGGGCTGGCTGTGTTGCAGCACTTTGCTACTGATGTGGCAAGCGGCTGGTTCCGAGGCCAGCGTGGCCCTCTACGTGCTCAAGACCATCTTGCTGATACTGAGGGGGAAGCCTGGGGAAAGGCAGGACAGCCTGGCAGACAGAAGACGGTTCTCTATCGACACTACCAACATGATGCCAGTGGCGGTACGTCATGCGCGCGTTTCTTTTTCCCAGGGGTGTTTCCTGATCGCGAAAGTTCCTGCCTGCCCTCGGGCCCAGTCACGCCGCCTTCGCAGCCCTGCCCTCATGCACGCACGCATGCATGCACCCACTCATCCAGCATACATCTATTGAGTGCCTACTATGTGTTGCTCCCTGTTCATGAAGCCTACGTTCTGGTGAGTGACAGTGACAACGAACCAAAAATAATGTGCCGCGTGCCAGACGACAAAAAGCTTAGAAGACATACAAAGCACTGGGATGAAAAGAAAGTGAAGGGGAAGGGGTTAGGGAAGTTGGTCAGAGTGGGCCACTCTGCTGAAGTGACAGCTAATCAGAGACCTCAAGGAGGCAAGGGAGTGACCCTTGCAAGTATCTGGGCAAGAGCTCTGGACGCAGAAAAGGGCAAAAGCCCTGTAGTGACGGGCACCGCCCCCCCGTCGTCCCCCCCCCCCAGGCGCATCACGGGACGCAAGGAGGACAGCCAGGGCAGAACTGAGCGAGGGTGGCCGCGAAGGAGATGGTGTCAGAGAGGCAGCAACCAGCTAAGCATGCACGCGTTGACAGGCATGTGAAGGCCTGCGCACATTTGCATCCTTCATTATCTATCTCCCAAGGACTGAAACTGCCACTTCTGGGAGTCAATTCAAGTCTTGCAGACACACAGAAAAACATGGAGAGTGCCCCACAAGTGCGGGCTTGGGACATGGGGGTCTGACGTGGACGGGCAGTCAGGACACCGAGTGATTTGTCAGGGACCTGGCCGCCCTCCCTTCCTAGCGCACTGCCCTGGATTGCCGAAGCACAGGGAGGGCCTGGCAGTGGGGAGGACAGCCTTCGTGGCCACGGATGAAGGGGGCCTTGGGACGCACGCCCTCCTTGGGGACCAGCCTGCTTCCTGCTGGCGCTGGCAGCGTGGAGGGCAGGGCATGGGTGGCCGACAGTGCTTTGGGAATTCATGGCGGCAGACAGCTTGGCACATCCCTGGCTCAAAACAGACTGAGCAGCTGTTATCGGAGAAGGAACGCCCATGCAGGCTTCAGGCTTCCTTCGAGGAGGTAGGGGTGGGTGCGAAGTCCCTCCCTTCCCGTCCCCACTGGGGCTCACAGGGCTCGGAGAGCGAGGGCGACAGACTCAACTCTCTTCCCTTCCCTTGCAGGCATCCCAGGCCCTGTGCACGCTTCTGCCTGTCGCTTCCTACAAGAAAGCGGTGGCCCAGTTCTTCCCGCAGCTCTTGATGGCCCTTCTGTTCCAACTCTTTTACACCAGCAACATGACCCTGGTGACGAAGGACAATCTTTTGTGAGCTGGCTGCTGTCACTGCTTCTACCCCCTCGGGTTGGGCAGTGCGTTCGTTGATGACAGGTTTTCCTCCTCTGAAGGGCACAATGCCTTCCACGTAGTAACTGCCTTGAGTGCCCAGAAGTCAGCCAGGGCCTTCGCTGAGGGTGGGTGCCGGGAAGGCAGGACCACCCTGCAGAGCACGGCTTAGACCCCTCCAGCAGGGAGAGCACCGCGGTGGGTGTGTGCAGGGGGCAGCGGGAGCACCGTCACTCTAGGCGTTCATCCTGCCCACGTCGGCAGCTTCGGCTCTTCCCTTTCACCCACGAGAGCGCAGTGAGCTCTGCTGCCCTCTGGGAAAATCTGCGCCCAGCTCTCTGCGGGTCGCCCTCACTCCACTTCCAGGCCAGGCGGCTCTCGAAAACACAGGCATTCGGGGGCGGGTGTCTGCTCTCTTTCGAGCAGACACACCAAGTCAGTGAGGATAGGTCCTATTTATTTACAGCATCCGAGGAAGAAAGTCGACACCTTGACCAAGTTCTCACATCATGTAACCTTTTGCTAGTAAGCTGTTAAGAAGTGAATAAATGAACAAACTGCTCCAGGGCCAGTCCTAAGCTGCCTGGGTTGCAGTTCCAGAGGGAGCCCGCACCTGGGCCGTGAATCAGGAGCCAGGAAGAGCACCTGCGGCCTCCTCCCTCTCAAATATCCCCTCTTCCCACACCAGCATCCTGTCCGGGCTGGAAAGGCCAGGCAGGTCCCATGTGCGGGCAACATGAAGGCCGTGGTCAGGTGGTGACTCTGCTCTCCTCTGGGCCCTAGCTTTGCCCGCGATGCCCTGAGGGTGCTGCTGAATTGCTCTGGGCTGGAACAGGTGGATATTGCACTGAAGAAAAAGAATTTCTGGAACCAGATCTCCCAGGTGCTGTTTCACCACCACGGGGTCTACCTCATCGCCAAGTAAGAGCGGGCCCTGTCCGCGCAGGCCTCTGGGTCTCTGTCCCTCCCTCTCTTCCTTCAGCAAAGCCACGTAGGCTCACAGTCCACATCCACTCTGACTTCCAAGCCTCCCCCGATGGTCCGTATTGACACACAGCTCCTACTTCCTTGCTGATTTTGAGGGGTGTCTCCTTTGGGATTGTCTTCCCTTTCCTGGCCTGCGCGCCTAGTGACAAGGTGCACAGCCTCCCTCTCTCCACAGGATAGTTTCCCCTTTCTGATACGGGCAACTGGAGCTGAATCCGGTTCCTTTCCTCTCTTGTTCGCTGTAGGCATCAGACAGTGACTGCTGCGCCTGATGAGACAGACAAATGGGGGAAGGGGAATGGAAGAGGACTTTTGTTCTTCTTGTCCTACAATTTCTTTCTCCTGGTCAGCCTGTTAGCATGAAGCAAGCTTCTGATTCTGGGGATCAGATGTGCTGACCAAGAATCAAGATTCATACTCTTGACAAGGTGACAGACCATGACGCAGAAAGTATAGTCCGAACGGGCCCTGGGCTTCTGGCACTTTTCAAACGGCAGCTTATTTGCCCATAGATTTCTGGAACACATCTTGTTTTGTTAAAGGGTAATTCATCTGTGCCCTCAAATGGCACCCAGGTAAGAGTCACTCTAACTGGAGTGATTTTGGATCTTCGAACACAAAGCGTGGTCCACAGACCAGCAGCCACACAGCAACACCCGGGAATTAAAAACACAGACTCGCATGGGCCACAGAGACCTAGTGAGTCAGAATCTGCAATTCAGCAAGATTCCCCGGGTGACTGGCAAGCGCACTGACGTTCCAGGGGCACTGGTTTAGAGCACCAACCTGGGGTCTTCAAGGGGAATCTGTGCCACATCATCCTTCCCAATCCCGCCACTGCCGACCGAGCCGGGTGTGTCAGGACAGCTGTGAGCCTGGCTGGTGCCCAGGCGGGTTGCAGAGGACGGCTTGGTGAATCAGGTTCACCGCCTCCTCTCCAGAGTAACCGAGATAGCCCCGAGCTCTCTCCTTCCTTCTATCATTTAAAGGAAGGACTTGGTCTACGACAGCAAAGGCGGCCGGCATGGCCGCCTGGAATCACCAACATACTCATTTTCCCTCCCTTTGGTCTGGCACTGATTGGAGGCTGCGGCTACATAGGGCATTTGGTTCTACAGCTCAGGAGGGGGACAGGAAAGGCCGGTGACGTTAAGAGATGTTGTCAGTGACCCAGGTATATTCGAGGGGGGGACCCAAAAAAGCCAGAATTATCTTCTGGAGGGTGGGCCCCTTGTAGCACAGGCTTCCCAGCTAGGTGAGTATTCTGGGAACCTGTCTGTATCAGTGCGCCAGCTGGCGTTGTTGTGAGAGGCTGTGTTCGGCTTCAGTGAATTTTTTTTCAAAGACTTTCAATCAATGCATTTGCCCTTTTCACGGATGGGCGATTTATGAGCACACCTGCCCATACCACACTGAGTACTCGTCCAGCAGTTTTTGACTGAAAATGGCATGACCACCATACCCCACCCTCTCTATTCACCTGATCTCACCTTTTCTCACAGAGTAACTTTTTCTTGTTTCCCAATGAAAAAAGTCCTCAAACTGAAATGTTTTGCCCATGTGGAAGAGGTGAAACAAAACACGGCACAAACCCTAAAAGACAGCAAAATCAACAAATTCAAAAACTGTTTTGAGCACTGGAAAAAACACCTTGATAGGTGTATGGCATCAAATAGAGAGTACTCTAAAGGTGACCGAAGTGTAAGCATGAAAGAATACACAACTTTTTATAAATAAATTCCATTTTCTTGGGGTCCCTCCGCACACTTCCCCACCGCCTGTGCAGAATTCACACGGGGGCTGCCATTTACTTTGGATTAGGGAAGACTACAGAGTATCTTTCCTGGTATCTGGGTCATACAAAATCTAAGGATACTACTTCTCTCTTTCCTGCCATTTGCATTTGCTGATGCAGAGAGTGTCTTCATCTTCCCTGCTCATCCAGTGCCTTCTCCTCCTTTCCAGAACTCTCAGTGAATATAACTTTCCACAATTTCCGGAGACCCTGCATTATCTCTACAAGCTCTCGGTGGAAGGTCCTAGAAGATCAGAGGAGAGTGTGATCACAGTGATCTTCCTCACAGAAGTGAGTTTACTTAGTGACTCAACAACTGAGTTTGCACTGTCCTTTCTTACCCAAGCATATCCAGCACTCCAACCCTGTATCCCTGTCTCTGAATGTTTACTTCACCACAAGTTAAAAAAATGACAGATTCCCGAGGCTGAGGGGCGAGGAGGAGACAAAGCTGGGTTACGGACGGTTGAACCCACGGCCTCTCCTGGAGGTGGCTTTCATCATTCCCGTGAGCATGTGGATCTGCACAAACATCAAGTTATGTTTGAAATACCAGCTCCTGTATCTCTGCATGCTTGTTAAAGTATATCAAGGGATAACGGGGTTTACTAAAGACAGCAGGTAGCATCCAGGATCTAAATGATGCATCAGGCTGTCTGGAAAAAAGAAAAAGAAGGGCCAAATAACTGGGTGAAGTAAAGACTAGAGCTCCGTTACTTTGTATATGAATATTACATCATATATCATAGTGCCATTCTAGAGTCAAACATATTGAGGAAATCCTTTTGGATCAAACTTTAGCTTTTGCTAAATAATTAACTACCTAAGCAAGCATCATTTAATTCATAAGCATAAAATTCACTACTCGCTGATAATACCTTTATAAATGTTACTGTTAATTTCATACACATACACACATATGCTTACACAGAAGCACACACATATTAGGGTCTGTCTCAGCTTAATTGTTAGGTTCCGTTTATTTTTTATTCTTGTGGGAAGCACCACACTGTTGAATTATGGCCATTTGCAAGTGAAGTTTGATGTCTAGCAAAGCAACTTTTCCTTAACTCTTCTTTTCAAAATTTCCTTTGTTCTTTCTATATATTTGTTCTTCTAGTAAAAGTTTAAAATAACTGTGCCAGGTTTAAAGGAAAAAAGCTTTTGTTGAAATTATCCTTTCAATTACATTAATGCTATGAGCTTCTTAGGAATATTTGATATTTTTATATTTTCATTTCTATTCAATATTTTGTCATTTTCATATACATTTTACATACTAATTTTGGAATTATTAGGTAGCTGATATTTTAAGTTGTTAGTGTGAATGTGGCCTTTTCATCTGGATGTTCAAGCTCATTGTTGCTGAATGCTCAGGAAAATTAGGCTATTATCTTGAATTCAACTACTTTCCTACGCTCTTATATAAATTCTAATAATATTTTAGTTGATTCTCTTGAGTTTTCTAGTTATATGACCCTACTGAGTGAAAAATGAGGATAATACTGTTACCCTGTTTAAATCATTTCATTTATTTTCCTGAATCGTGTTATTTTCGCCTTGTCCTTTAAAGTTCCATTTTGTGAATAATTTGATCTTTCCTTTGCCCACTTAGTACCTATTATGACCTTGGTGTTTTTCTCAGTAAATTGTATAACTCTCCCTCTTTTTTCTCTCCTTCTCAACACAAATTTGTGAAGGATATCAAGTTAACTCATGAACATAGTGCTTTGACTATGCATCCTCAGTGAGAAATATTTTAAGGACAAAAATCTTTTTAAAATACTCATTTTTACTCAGGAGTTTTATTAATATTGTGTGTTGATATCATAATTTTAAAAACTGAGGCATGCATTGCAGAGCAGAAAGAAATAAGAACACACAGTGATGTTACTCGGCACCAGGATTTTCCAGGTAAGGGAAAGATGAGGCAATAGAAAACCGCAAGAAGTTAATATTAACAGTGTTCCATTATATTTGAACTGAATGTAGCAATATTGTCAAAGTGAACTTATGACCAAAAAACAAACAAACAGAAACAACAGTATTTCTTAGCTCAAGTAAGGACCCAGAAGACATGATATGCCAATCACAATGAGTCCACTCTAGCACCCACTTCTAATGGTTTCTCAATACCATTGTTCACTAAAAGGAACCTTGTCTCCTTAAAGAAATGAATAATTGCAGGGGGCAAGGAAAAGATGAGTCTAGGACATCTAATTTTTCCACAAGCAAAGAAGTGCTCAAAGGTAGATGAGTCATGTCCAAAGGACATAAGAGTCAACTTGCATGGGCTCCTATTGCCCAAATTTGAGCATCAAAAGAAATTATAACATCAAATAATTGTAATATGTTGAAAATTTTAATGCCTAAATCCTTGTTAATACTCAAAAGTGGAAAGCTGGGAGAGGTGGGGGGTGGGGGGAGGTGCCAGCCAGTAAATGCAGAAATAAGGCGAGAAGTAAGAAAAAAATCACCATTTTGCAAATCCCAGTTTAATAAATGAATGAAGAAAAAAGTCATCAATAATTTTAAAACCATTCAGTGGAAGGTTGTTGGAGAACACAATATTTACATGGTATCAAATTATCACCCCGCAGATTAGTGACTAAGTATAAAAGGAAAATGTGCCTTGCCCTTCGCTGTGTGGGGATGTGCTCACAGAAGTACCTGTGGGAATCCGTACGGGCACTGCGCGTTGCAGTGTGAGTTGTGTTTCGGTTTCACCGAAAATGTCTTTATTTCTATGCCTGCGGCAGGACCTACGCATTCGCCTTTACTCTGCTTAGGAACATATTAGTTATTTTCTTCCAGCTCCTGAATAAATTCTTCAAGGACCCATTCCCAGAAGAATTTTTGGTTCTCTTCAGGAACTGGATCAACGACTCCAACCCCGCAGTGAGCAAAGTGAGCCTGCAGAAGATCGGCAGCATGGCGCCCGTCATCAACCAGGTGCGCGGCCAGGTGCCCGGCGTCTGCCGGCTCCCCCCATGGCGCAGGCTGAGACTGGCTGTTGCTCAGGAGCCTTGCTGAGGCTCCATCAATGAGGGATCGGGGTTGACTGGAAGGAATGTGTTAAGCCAAGTTAGTGGCTTTATCGCCTAATTTATCTTTTTCCCAGAAAATCATTCGTAGCATTCAGGATTTATCAGCATCGCCCTACATGAACACCTCCTCACAGTCTATTCGAAACCTCAGACATAGGTGATCCCTTCCCCCCCCCCCCCCCCCGCCGCCACTCACACGTGCACGCAGGTTAATGGTCCTCGCCAAGCGCTCATGCGAGCTTCTCCCTCCACTATAATGCCTTCCCCCTCCACACCGACGTGGTCGCCTTTCTCTCCTTGTTCAATGATCAGTTCAAGTCAAATTCCACTCACTCTTTGGATCCCTAGCAGCCTCATATCTGCTCAGAGCCACACCAACTGTGAGCACTCACTTACAGAGCATTTTATATCTGTGCTACTCCACGTATAATTCTGAACCAGCAGCATCAGTATCGCCTGGAAACTGTTAAAGAGACGCAAACTGTCAGGCCCTAGGTCAGGCCTGTGAAATCGGAAATCCTGGGGGTGGGACTCACCGATCTGTGTTTTCAAAAGTCCTCCCGTGGGTACCAACACAGCTGAAACTGGAGAGCCGTGTCTCACACTGGCTCCCGCCGTGTCCTGTGGCTCCAGCTTACTTTCCGGAAAGGCTGAACCTAAGTCCATCCCTTGTAAACTTCCCTTGTAAATGTCAAAGTACTTGCATAATGCTGAGAGTGTAGCCGTTCCATGAATCATTGTTGATTTAATAATATATTTAATAACAAATCTGTGTTTGTTACTAAGCGTAATATCCAAAAACTTAAAGCCAGTCAAGAGGGTACGTATTTTGCATTTAGAACGAAATGAGCCATGGTCTGTTTGCTTCAAATAAATCATACAAGTCGATGTACATTCTTTTCATAAACGGAGACTTAATTATTGCCTCATCTAGCACTCTTCCCAGTGTTCTTAACCACTGAAGGGAGATTCTGTGTCAAGATTACCTAGGAGAGAGAGACAGAATCTCTGGACTGAGGTTTCACGTACTGCCTATGGGTAAAGATTCAACTTTCCTGCCAGACACATGCGGCCTCTGGCTATTATTTTGGCAAATAGCACTTCTTCCTTTTACTTTTCTGTCCAGCCCTTCTTTTCCTCCTTTGGTGTCACCTGTTCATGTTTTCCCCTCCCTTAAGTTCTGTTTGTCTTTGATCTGCATTTGACTCCCAGGGGGTGCTCAGCACCTGAGCATCTCTCCCGTCCAAACAGGGCACCTTCTCCTAGTTCGGAGGGCGTGGGGTCAGTGGTGTGTTGGTACATGTTTAACAGTCAGCTCAATAGAAATCAGGCCAATGGTCCTGGTGTAAACACCATGGCTGACTTCAAGCTGTCAAAGAGACATCATTAAACGTGGAGTTGGGAAGAAGTGCACTTAAGCTCATCATGCAGACCTAACGCATGTAAATAACCTCAAAGGCGTATGAGAGAAAAGGGAGCGAAGTCAATAGGAAGTGATAAATTTTGAGTATGTATAGCCATTGTTTCTATTTATTTCTAAGTGTATAAAAGTTAACTTTTTAGTAGTGACACTTATCTAACGATCAGCCTACAACATTGTTTACCACTGACTCTTGTGAGCCAGCTCCAGCACGCCACCGCACGCCACCGCACGCCACCGCACGCCACCCAAAAGCTGGCTTAAGCCCCCTTCCCACCCTGAATCCTACCATTTCCCTCCTTTTATATGTAGGTAGGAAATGTCTGCAGCTTATTATTATCCATCCTGGACGCCTTCCTTTCCAAAGACAAGACTGTTATAATTCGGGCCTTGCTTACCCTCCGAAGACTTTTAAACAAACTGGACAAGGTGACCTACTCCTCCCTGTGCACCAGAATTGCTTCCAGCTACTGTCCACTGATGGATCACGTGAGTAACACAGCCGGGCATGTGAGATACCTCGGGGCAGTGGTTCAGCTGGAGCCCTGGCTCTGGCAATGAGGCTACGTGCCCGAGGAAGCCAGCGGAAGACAGTCATTGTGTGTAGAGCCACTGTTTCCTTCCGAGATGCCATTAGTCAGGAAGCACTGTGAGAACCTGGGAAAGTCTGCCCATAAAGAGGGAGACTCAAAGAGTAGCCACTGTCCTTGGATGAGAGAGAAATTGTAGCTGAGCAGTTATATATTGGTTAACCCTGGGTCAGGACTTCCTGGGTTCAAATCCTGTTGTCTCTTATTAGCTGTGAAATCTAAGCAGGTGGTTCAGCCTCCCACCTGTAAAACAGAGAGTGCAGCAGGTGTCTGGCAGGGGTTAGAGATGACATGTAATGCCCCACCTGGGTCCCTGATCATCATGTAAAACTGTCAGTTAAAAAGTATCTCATCAGAAAGTTGTGTTTTAAGAATTCTTGTTTTGTACGGTAAATGTGTTCCAAACAAGTTGGATGGCAGTGATTTATTTTAATAAGCAGGAATACTTTGGTATGCCATGGGGAATCTATTTCTTTTTAGAGACTTCTGTAATTGTAGTGAGTCGTTTGTGAAACAGAGAATTATTTCGTAGTAAATTATCTTGCCGAAATTTGTAAGTTCTTAATTACTTGGGTTTCAGTGAAGAGGAGCACAATATTATTAAATTACGGAAAGAAAAAGTTTAGTGGAAAAAATTATTTTTATAAGGACAACGATGATAATAATAGTGGCTAAAATTTACTGAGCATTTACCATGTACCAGGTATTATTCTAAGGAATTTACATGCATTATCTAATTCTCTAAACAAACTCTACTGCTATTATCCAGGTTACATGTAAAGAAACTGAGGCAAAGAAAAGTGAATTTTTGGTCAAGTTCACACAGTTAATAAGTAGTTAAAATAACTATGTAAAAAATTATTTTCAAAGTGAAATCATTTGGGGGAAAAAGCACTACATAAATTATCAAGCCAAAAATGAAGGAAAATTAAAGAGAACAGAGAGCTGCCATGGGTCAATTCACCCTAAGTCATTCCTTGAAGGCAGAGTGTTTGAAAGATATCAGGATATCAATGAACCCATGGTGCTGTGTGTCTCCATATTAAAAGTGAAAAAAAAAAACAACATGATCAAGCTCACTGGACCACTGGGGACTGAAACTGGGATTTCGGCAGGTACTGGGCACTCCAAAGCTCCCCCCGCTGAATATATGTTCAGCCTTTCCACGGCCAGCATGCCTCCCTGTAATTCAAGGACACAAACAGGTGGCCCGCAGATGAATGCAACTTGCAGGTGCATGAAGGTTAGCCCTCAGGCAGAGTAAGCGGGACATTTTTACACTGAGAGGTTGCTCACAAACGCGTGGATTGTGAAGGAAATGTCAGAATTTCTGGGGATACCGAACACCACACGCCCACCTGGCAGCAGCCTGCGGGAGTCGGTGTCTCTCAGAGAGGACAGGGCTCTCTCCTGTCCGGTCTCCATCCTCTCCCTGCTCTCCTCAAATGCCACCCACTGTGTTCATTTGCATCCCTGTCCAGCCCCTATGACATGCAATTTAATTGCCACTCATTTAGGTTTAGACTTTGATACCCATGCATTACCCCTCAGGAGGAACATACGAAGCCATGTCAGCCCTGTGTGTTTTGTTGGGAATACAGCTGATACATTCCTGAGAACAGAAAGGAAGGATAAAAAATGAAATCATAAACATTTCTTAAAAACAGGAAGGTAACATATTATTTTCAAAAACTGACCTCTTCCCCTGACTTGCAATTTTTCTCTTCTAGAGTCTTTGTAATGCAATCACCTCTCCATGTTTGGCTTGTACAAGCTCTGTGTCAGTACAAGGCGCTCCCACGGTGCTCGCTGGTAGCTCTACAAAGGCCTCCATGACTATTGCTCAATTACTCTAAGTACCTTTACAGGAATTATAGTTTAACAGATGACTGCAACTTAAGATTACTCCAAGTTAAACAGGTTACTGCAATGTCTATTTTTAAGACATTATTAGAGACTGCCTTCCTAAATTTAACACGCCTACTGTTCACATGGGATTTTTTTTTTTTTCCATGCAATCTGAACTTTGGTAAGCAACACTGATTTGCAATGAAACCCAGAGCTGACTGCTTGGATCCAAAGTGAAGCTCGTCTAAAAATAACATCATAATTTCATACAGATGTATATATACATATATCATAGATACTTATGTAGTATACATACATGTATAAATATATATAAACATACATATCGCACTGTTTAAAGACAGAAGCCCTAGAGGCACCCTCAAGCGAGGCTTCTCTGTGCACCAATTCCAGAGCAACGGAGGCATTCGGAGCATGGCCATCCGACACTTCGGCGAGTTACTCAGGGACATGAGTCAGTACACGTGGATGTTGAACAGAGTGGTGATCGGAGCCCTGGTGCCTCTGGTCCTGTTTCTGGAGGACACAGAGACAAGAGTCGTTACAGTACGTCCTGGGGTCTTGTTTTTCTTAGTTTTGCAGAGACGCACTGCGTGTTTTATGGAACACTGGACACAGGCATCTCACTGACTGTTTTCCACTTTCGCAGGCCTGTAAACATACATTGGCAATCTGCGCCTCGAAATTACATTGGTCAATATCGCATTTGCTCATGGGCCACTCTTACAGTTTTGAGCTGGTTGTGCTCAACATCTGCAACAAGCTTGTAAGTGGCCCTTCGGTGTTTCCTACCATCCGTTATCGAAAGAACATTAAAGGACCTCCTAAATGAGGGGAAGGGAGGTGGGAACGGGGTGAATCTTGGAGAAGAAAGGTAAAAAAAAAAAAATATCAAATGGGTGAGAACAGCCAGAGCTTGAAACCAGAGAAAATTATCATTTTCCATTTCCCATTCCTTGATATTGACCCTCTAGCTAACCCTCCTCCAATCCACCCACATGGAGCTTTGGATGGGTCGGAATGAAGGAACAGCACTTCAGGGCGCTGAAAGAAAACTAGGAATTATCTGGTCACTGCCTAATGAGCTGGCCCCCTGAACGCCGGCACAGAATGCAGTGGGAGAAGGGAAAACGCTAACCAAAGGTGGGAACACAAGGTTGGGAAGCATATAAAAAATGGAAGAATACCCACAAACAGAAAAGTCGAGCTCACACATAGAACTCTCAGGTTTCAAACTGGGCTTTATCTGGTATAAGCAACCAAGTTCTTTTCACCGGAAGCCTCTCTGAAAGGGAACATGTGTACTTTTTCAACAACTGAGAGTGTTTTTTCCCTTTCTATTTGCAGTTTGCTTCTCATGGGAGCTACACTGTAGATTTGCTCTCTGATGCCTTGGGGTTCCTAAGGAGCTCCCACGTGTATCTGAGGAGAGCGTCCCTCATTCTCATAGGTAAACATAATTCAGTTCTCATTGCCTGACTTGTCTTAAAAGGTACAGCTAGAAGTCTTCCTTAAAAAAAGAATTATAAATCACTTTTGTTGATGATGGACAGCACCCATCATGGTGATATCTACGATGAATAGTGGTTACTGCGTATGATTAGAATGAAGTTCTATTTTATACTGCGCAGTGAGTATAGCTGTGTGATTAAATTATTACATGAAGTATTTTTGAAAAGATGGCATACCACTGCTCAGTATCCCCTTTTGCTGTTTAAAAATCACCACCCAAGGAACAAGGATACAGGAATATCTAAAAATCCAAACACTATCTTCAGCAAAATTTGGGCATCTGTAGCCACAACTCTAACAGATGAGGAAGAGCTATCAAATCTGATAAAGTAAAAAAAAAAAAAAAAAAGTAGGGTTGGGAGTAGTGAAGGAAGATTCTAGGAGAAGACAACTAAAGTTTTCAATCTTGGACAAACCTGACCATTTTTCCCACTAGATTCTCACTATAAAGATCAAAATTGATAATCCTTGATTTGGAATGACAGGAAGTGAATTCCCAACCTGGTAATGGGATTTTCACTGGGCCTTGTTTAGCCCCGGGGAGCAGCAGGGACAACAAGGAATCAGGAAATGCACAGTCATGTTGTTCTAGTAAAGAAGAGAGAGCCAGGTTGTCAGAGTGAAAGACAAACTGAATTAAGAGCAACACTAGTGCCCCTGATCTGTGCTGACCAGAGAAGATGCAGGGACACACACACACACACACACACACACACACACACAGAAACCTGTGTCACAGAAACTTGATTTCAAACCAGAAAAGTCCTGTTACTCTGAATTCTACCTTGGTCCTTTCCACAAGCCCTCCTCTGTTAGAACTATTCCAAGGTCCAAAAATAAGTAATCTTTTAAAGGAAATGACATTATCTTTCTATAGAGGTATTTCCAGGGGGAAAGGAGAGGAAAGAAGAAAAACAAATTTTTATAAGTTGTTTCTACCGAGAAGAGGGAAATCATGATAAAAATATCCACAAATATACAACTTTTTGAAATAAAGATCTAAAGTATAGGGACAAGTACAGAGTCGATACATGATTGGAAAGTGGGAGCACATGAAAAATAAGCTTTCAAAGGATAAGGGGCACATGTCAGAAAAAAAAAAACATATAACCATCACACACACAAAAATGCAGTGCAACCAGCAGATGAAAAAATATATACATGCATATTGTTGATAAGTCATTAAGGGACAAAGGAGTCCGAGGATGAGAAATGCTAGCAAAATGAAATGTTGAGCAAGAGAAGGCAGACACAAAAGAATGTGCATTGAAGGATGGAGGAGCCGGCTGGGGAGGAGCACGAGGAAGGCTTCTGGGGTGCTAGTCCTGTCCTATTTAGTGACCCGGGCGGTCGGTACAGGTGTTCATGGTGTGGTCATTCACTGACCTGGGCACTTAGGACATGTGCATGTTTATAAACATACACATTTTTCAGCAGTTTCATTAAATGATTAAGTATGGGACAGCACTAAAAGAGGACGCAAGGATCATCTAGAGATGCTTTGCTTTCTAGAAGGCAATGAAGACAGATGACGTCAGAGGAGGTATCGTCCTAATGTGCTGGGGGTTTTTACTTTGTGCATAGGGTACTTGACAACACTGGGTGGCCATTTACTGCTCAAAGATGACATTGAGGTCATGCTTGAGGGTAAGTGTTGAAGACATAATGAAATCCTGCTCAGGTCTAAGCGCACTCACTCTTGGTGGTTCTACTCACATGAGTTCCACAATAATGCCAGGTGCTGGGGGTGGGAGGGGGTAGGGGTGAGGAGAGACTCCATGGAAGAATTGGGTTGAGGGGCACCCTTTTTTCCTTTTTTATTCTCTCTCTCTCTCTCTGACGTATCCTCCCAAGGCCCTTCAGAACGGCACAGAGAGCTGAGAGCTGACTCACTCATTCACCCAACCAGTATTTTTTCCAGCTCTAATCTAGCAGCCAGGGGTACAGCAGCAAACAAAACAAAGCCCCTGCCCTCAGGGAATTGAAGTTTCAGGAGTTTGCAATGTATGCCTGCACCAGAGGGACTTAAAAGAAGGGCAGAGTATATTCTATCCAAATGTTTGGATCTTTGGCATCTCTCTCCCGCCTCTCTTTCCCCACCGGGGGTCAGAATTACAAACAGGTAAGGTAGGACAGTTTTAGAGTTACAGCGAAATTGAGTGGAATGCGTCGAGATTCCCCACACACCTCCTGCCCCCACGCATGCGCCCCCCAGCACACGGTGCGTTTGTTATGGCTGATTAACCTGCACTGACACGTCAGTACACTTCTTCCTTTTTCATGCGTTCATGTATTCACGCGTTTATTCCATACATATTTATTGACTGCCTCCTAAATTCTCTGTCTCTCAAAACCCTTTTCTTCTTTCTCTCCTCCTCCTGCTCCTTTTCCTCTCTTTTTTCTAAGTGTGCCCCTCTTTTCCTCTATTTCTTTTTAAGAAAGAGAGAATTTCCCACAAGCTCAAGATCTGGAAATAATGATATTAGCATATCATTATATATATATAATCTCAGATCGTTTTTAAAGAATATAAATCATTACCTATTTTCAAAGTGATAACTGTTTCATAACTTTTTTCATTTGTTCATATATCATAAACATCTTTCATACCAAGAATTATGGATCTCCATCATTCTGTTAGTATGTGTGTGCTATTTCATTTTATGATAGTCCCCCTTTTTTTAAATTCATTTTTCTTTACTAATTTGAGAGAGGAAGAAGGGGGAAGGCAGGGAGGGGGAGAGAGAGAGAGACATTGATTTGTTGTTCTGCTCATCTACGTATGAATTTGTTGCTTCTTTTATGTGCCCTGACCAGATATCAAACCTGCAACCCAATTTCTAAGTAGTTCCCTGCTGACGCCCATTTAGACTGAGCCCAGCTCTCTTCATCATCCTGAGCAATGCTGAGCCTCTTCACACGTGCACGTTAGTGCCCCTGGAAGAACGGCCACCCAGCACACGAGAGCCACTCGATAAACGTTTAGTGAATATTCCCATTTTTCTTTTAATGAGAGCTGGATAACACTTCCTGGTGCTATTAGTCAAAGGAGTGAAAATTGGGGCGTGGGGCAGAGAGGCTCAGGGGGAACACAGAAGGTGGGCTGTTCAGACGCCGAGCCGCTTGGATTCGGCGCGGCGCTGTGTTCTCAGGGCCCCCTGCCGTTGCAGCTATCGACCGAGTGCTCGAAGACGAAGACCCGGAGATCAGGGACTTAGCAAAAAGAACCTGCAAACTTTTTAAGGAAGTGGCCCATCAAATGACCTCCTCAGTTATTAAACAAGGCTCCCGAAGACTGTTTAACTTTATCTACATCAAAAAGCTGAAGCTTCTTTACCATTACAACTCACCCAACGATGTGACAGAAAGTCCTATGAAGATTAAAGAAACCAGGAATGGTAAGAAAGGCCTCATGCATGAGAGCGATGAAACCATTTTGTGAAAGGAGGCCTTCGCCAAGGGCTAGCAGCACAACTCAGAAGAGGAAAGATCTCCTCTTTCCTCTAAGGATGCTGGGAGCCATTTTACTGCTCCTTCTTAACTGTCTTCAAATACAGAAATCTGTTGCCTCTCTAGGTCTGACAGTGCTCAGAAACCTTAATTCATCAAACCCAATAAAAAAATAAAAAATCATATAAGCAAAGTGTTTAATGAGAAGCTCTTGGGGCTTAATTCCATCAATAAGCCAGACACTGTGCTAGGCGGTGGGGACATGTGGGTAAGAGTCACGGCTGCCATCCTCAGGAAGGTGACAATCTAGTGGTGCTCGACTTGGCTATTTCCATCCCGCTGGGAGGAATGTTGCCCCAAGGCAGTACTCACAGAGGAGGAAATGGCACCTGTAGGGGAATGGGAACACAGGGAAATGTATGCCAGGTGGAAACAATGAGGCAAGAAGGGCGGGGGGCAGGTGCTGGAGAGCCTGTGGCAGATACAAGTGGGCAAGATGAGCACTAGATGTATCTGGGTGGCCACACGGACGGTGCATAAATGTCTCATCGCTGGGTTGTACGTCTGAAACTAATATTAGATGTCAACTGTAATTTTAAAATAAAAAATTATTTTAAAACAGGAATGAGGAGAGCTGAGGCCCAAGGAGAACACACTGCGCTGCTGTGCTCATCTCTCTAAACTTCTTGAAGTGAAAACTGCCCAGTCAATCACGATGGCTCCCACTGGTGCTTGGCCTGGAGTCGTGAGGGAGCCGACGCACACATGCTGCCGGGCTAAGGGCTCTTCCCTCCCCCCAGCTCCTGTACCCCCCGCCCCACACACACACCTTCTCAGTAACTCACCGTTGAATGTATTCACTGCTGAATCCCCACTGCCTACATCTGTACCTGGCACATACACTGGGGGTGGGGGGGTGTATTTTAATGAATGGCTAATTGAGTGACACCCTGTGATTTGACTATGGGAATGCCTCTGTTCAATGGCATGCCACGTGAGGAAACAAAGAAAAAAGTGTGTTCTTTGCGGAGGGATTGACCTAATTTCAAACTCTGGAAGCTTCTCACTGCCTTCCCCCACCTCCCCCAACCATGTCAGAAGCAAGATGTATGCCAAAATTCCACAGATTTAAGTGGATCCAAACCCTAAAGCAAGTTTCATATAACACAACAAATGTAGAGAATGTGTTTTGCAACCTGTAATAATACAAATAAAAACTGTATTTGGCAGAGACTTGCCTGAAGAGGTAAACATAGCATATTATAGTCAAAACAAAGGAAGAGTGACCCCGAGTTTCCTGTGGAAACAGATGAAGTCAGTCCCAAATCCCAGGGTACCAAAGAGCCTGCAATTCCCTGGCAGATGCATTTAATCACTGTTCTGTGTTACTTACAAGAAAACACTTAGACAGAGGACATGGAGTTAAGTCAACATTTACGTATGAAGCTCCTGCTGAATACCCAATTCTCTACTGGGTGTTGAGGGGGATAGAATAAAAAGTACACATGATGGTCTCTGGTAAGAAATATGAAGTCTGTCCACAAAGGTAAGAATGAACATTCATGAGACAATTAGCCAACCACCCCCTGCAAGTCTACAATGTCAGGTCGTATGGGACGTAGCACTCGATCTAAGGGGATTCAGCAGCAATATGTGCAGGCATGAGGGAAGCTTCTAGAGGACAGTGATGTGCGTCAAGGGTCCCAAGGCATGCACAGAACTTGCACAGAAATAACAGCGGTGGAAGAGACCCCTACTCCCAATTTCAGAGGGAGCGCGACCCCAGGCAGTGAGTATATTTAGGAAGGACAATGGTGGGCACGATGGGCATTAAGGTATGAGACATCCTGTAGCCGGGGCACAGAAGAGCGATGGGCAGGTCAGGAAAATGAGGCAGAGTGTGAATGCCAGTGGAAGCACAACACAGGGGTGGTTTAGGAAAAGTAATTTCCTGAGGCATCTGAGGCCCCAGCTCCAGAAACACAGACCCTGAGAAAGACAAAAAGAAACTTACTGCTACAAGCAGAAGAGTTCCTCAGAAAGAACTGAGTTAAGCTCAGCTCATTTGACAGGGCCTGGGCGGGGGAGTACCAAGAAGGTAAGGTGGTCACTGGAGAAAGGAAGAGGATCCATTCTGACCCTCCTGCCTTCCGGACTGAACAGCTTGCCCTCCCCTTGGCTGCCAGGAGAGGTCACTACACAGTGATGCACCATAATACCGTACGATAGGAAAGGGAAGGCTAAGTCGTCGTCTTTGTCTGCCTCCTCCTCTCCCTGGGATCCTAAGACACAACCAGGCAAGCAGGGACCCAGAGGTGACGGAATGGACCCTGGGGATCTAGAGGTCCCAATAAATCTATTGAGATGCTTAAAACAAATTGTGTAGCCATCTCATGTTGTTATCAGGAATAAGGTAACAATCCACTGCAATAGGCATTTACTGGAATTGTGAAAGAAATCAGTTAAGATAGTTGCATTCAAGAAGCAGATAAAAGATTATCAACTTATTGCCCTTATACCTTTAATTTTTTGTTTTATAAGATTGAATGATATATGCTTGAAAAAAAAAATGTCGGGCCTCTCCCCAGTAGTTAGTTCCCTTGACCCAGAAGGACGGATCCTGTTCTGGCAGACACTTCCTTGGCAGCCACTCCTCACATTGGGGATCCTCATGGCCCAGGCAGCCCTCCTGGAAAGGGCCTAATATGACCCCATGTTCACTGTCCAGGTGGGTCACCTTTGGCCTTCAGGAAACCCTTACACATGTTTGGGCTCAACAGGCCAAGCCCAACACAGAAGCTGCTCTCCTCACTGCCAGCCAGTCCGGGACTCCCCACCCAGACTTCCCAGACAGTGGTTAGGCTCACGAAGGCCCCAAGCCCCCAACTCCTCTCCACATGGTCGGACCAGTGTACTGTCTTCTGATCCCAGTTCTTTGATGGGAAAGGGACACGCAGTATCCCAACAGCTCTTGCCAAAGAGATCTGCTTCAAACACTCCCCGGCTCCCCATCCTCGCTCTCCCACACTCTCAGCTGCCTCAGCAAAAACCGCCTACGTAACAGAAGGCTCTCAGCAGCCAAGGTAAATTAACTTTTTGACAGGTAGGGTACCCAGAGGACAAGGAAGATCCTCCTAAGCAGTGTAAAGGTATTTGTGTTACCTTTGGTTTCTATCTTCTATCTTTGGAAAGGTTTACTGAGGTTTTACTCAGTAAAGTACGAGATTCACAGAATGCTGAAAGGACTTTCATAATTACCTATTTCGATTTGTTCATTTTACAAAGCAGAGAGGTCACACCTGGCAAAAGTTATCGCAAAATATACGACCAATGGGATACACCCCTGAGTATGTACTATATTTCTATTGGAAGAGAGTAAGAGTATATTTAGGTGTCTGAGGATGAAGGATTGGTTTCCATCCAATGCCACGTCACCCAGTGTCCTAGACGCTGCCTAGTGGCACTCCTCCTGTGGACCCCTCCCGCATCACAAGGACTGCAAGGCTAAGAACTAGGGCATTGGCCAAAAAGTTCATTTGGTTTTTTTCCATAAGATGGCTCTGGTAGTGCTCAGTTGTCTTTAACTTCATTCGAAACAATTTTGTTAGATGGTATTGTAACAGCTGTCACATCAGCATGCATTTAAAAAAAAAAACAACTTACCAAAATTGGTGAATTTTGGGTTTCCAGTCAAGATGGAGGCAGAGGTAAACACGCTTCACCACCTCATGCAACCACAGAAAGAACTACAAGTGACCTCAAAACAAATAACACCCAGAACTGCCAGAAAATTGAACTGCACAGAAGTCTGACAACACAGGGTTTACAGAAGCCACATTCACCCAGACGGGCAGGAGGGCGGAGACACAGAGGCATGCAGAGAGGCATGGAGACACGGTGTGGCGCAGAGAGGCGGTGGCAGCGGAGCGGGCAGCCCCGCATTCATGTGTGGTGGGTGAAAATCGGGAGGGGTTCCCGCGGTCAGCATGTCCCCAGACACCTCTAATCCATTCCAAAACATCTACCGCCACGTCTCTCTCACGCCCAGTCTCCAATCTCCATCCCCTGCACTGCTCTAATTTCAATCCTTGGCGTCCCCAGCCTAGACCACTGAAATACGCTCCCAGCTTTGGAGATCCCTGGTTCCAGTCACTGTTCACTCTAGCTTCCATCCAAATCTGATCTTGCCTGACCTTGTCCCTTTCTTGTTCAAAATTGTGGACCATCATAACCTAGAGGACAGCACCCAGCCCCTCGAGATAACACTTCAGTATCCTTTACCATCCAACGTCCGTATGTTTCCAGATGGAAAGCGCTGCCTGCTCATCGCGGAGCCTCTGACACGCTCAGGGAAGTGGGAGGAAGCAAGGGAGAGAGGGAGGAGGGAGGGAAAGGGGGAAGTGTACAGAAGTAAGATGAGCAGATATAAAAGTGGGCAGGAGCCCAGACAAGTGACTTCACAATTCCGTCCCTTGAGTTCAATAGTTTTACAAACTCATCTCCAAGAATTAGCTCAGCTCCTCAAATCCAGTGCTCTTAAGTTTCCATAAAATTGGGTTTAAAAAAAAAAAATTGGCACAAGGAAACTTTTCCTTGTAGTCCAGGTGCAGAGCCTTTGTTTATATATACTCTATAGTTTCAAAGCAAAAATAAATAAAAGAATCATTTTTCCTTTAATCTCCCAGGGGTTCGCCTTTTAGCTCTAGTGACCGTATCAGTGATTGCTTTCTTTTTTGTCCCCAAGACCAGGGATCTCATTTGCCCTTCTCCTACCCTTTTATTTCCCTGCTCCCCACCCCGCCCCCACTTCCCCATCACTGCCACAGGCTGGCCTTCTCTTCCAGGTTTTACTGGGTGCTCCACCATAAAAAATACAAAGAGAAAGGAATTTTCACTATAAGAAAAAAAAAAAAAAACTCTGCTGTACTGTGAACAGAACGGTGACAAAGACCAACTGCTGAACTGGATGATAAGAGGAGGAGCAGAAGACTCAGCAGCACAAGGCTGAAGAGCCCCGAGCAAGGTTTTCTCATCATATTTATTAAACAGGAAAAGAATGAGGGTGGATAGTAGCGCATTCAAAGCAAAAAACAAACTTTAGCAATCACGTACACTCCCAGCTAGTTAGGGAAAGTGTTTCTATAACCAAGGTTGCTCCATGCCTCTGGAGAACTCCAAGGAACAAGCCAGATAGTTCACTTCTTGGCGGTGTGCCTCCAAAACATTCTTCATGCCAGCTAGCCCGTCACGCTAGGCTGAACATTGCTCCCCTTCGTATTGCCAGACCCATGTGTCAGAACGACTCATTTCTCAAGGTTTTCCTCCACATAACTCCACCCCCCTTCGCAAGTATTACCTCAAAAGACATTCTCTCCTACATTTAGAGACTGCTGGTTCTCTGCGGAAAGGCAGGAGGTAGAAGACGAGCGAGGCCCCTTCGAGCCAAGCATCCACAGTACGGTAGGATGACTTCGTCCCATGGGTTGCACGCGGAAGGCTTGAGCTCTGGTTCTGAAGCCTTTATTTGTTAGCCCTGGGACCTTGAAGCAGTAATTTCTAACCTCCTTGGAGTGACAATCACTTCCTTTGTAATGAGAGCACTGGTCTGATGACCCTCAGGGTCCTCCTGTTCTCACCTTCACTGACTCGGCTACATTGGGCATATTGAATAATCAGGAGAAGAAACCAGATTTAGAATCTATCACACAAGTGGTCAAAGAAAACAAAAAACAGCATTGACCATTAATGTGCCTCTCTGTGTTCTTCTGTTAAGGGAGGATCCTGACACTTAAACCTCGACTGGCTATTTCTGCTGAGACGTCAACGTGTTCGGGGACAGTCTTCTGAAGAAGCCCCGTCCAGGCCCTGCACTGGGAGACCATGAGGAAGAGAGTGGCCATCATTGGAGCCGGCATCAGCGGCCTGGCCTCCATACGGTGCTGCCTGGAAGAGGGGCTGGAGCCCACCTGCTTTGAGAGGAGCGACGACGTGGGCGGCCTGTGGAGGTTCTCAGTGAGTGGTCCACCACTGGGACCCTGATCGGAGGGAGCTGGGGTTCTGCAGCCCATCAAATCTGATTGGTTCTAATTCGGACTTGGGGGTAGGGTACCGAAGTTCCAGCTCAGGAAAGGAAACCCTGTCACTCCCACCTCACCAAGCCCAGTCACTCGGAACTGTTTCACCCCAGGGCGCCTCGCTCATTCATGATGCGACTGGCTCGACTGAGCCAGGCCTCCAGGCTGCTGTGAGTGCTCATGTCAGTAATCAGCCAAAACCACACCGCTGTCTCCCCATGTAACCGAGAGGATTCTCTCCCCACTGCTCTTAAATACTAGGGACACAGGGGAAAAGAAAAAAGAAAACTAGAGGGGTCAGAAGTCCTGAGGTCTCATGTCAGCTCAGGTGTTCTGGGCAGACATTCTAGGCAAGTCACTTTTCTTCCTAGATCTCAGACGCTCATTTGTCAAATGCGGAGGTTGGAAATTAAGTTACTTCTAATGTGCCTTCCAATTCTAACGGCTATAATTCTATGATTAACTCATGTCTATTGGGCAGACATTATAAGCTTTTATAAATGATTGATTGTGTGTGTTGGGCATGTGGTAATCGAATGTTCTGTGAGCTCCAAATCCAGAGGCAAACGAGCTGCCCCTGCCTTCCTTGCTCACTGTCACAGAAGTACTAAAATCAGGAAATGGGCTTATAAACACAATTTTTAAATTCTAAAAGACAAGTTTGGGAAAACTGGCCTTTCTGTCGTGACTGTCCCAACCATTGTCATTGGATGTATTTGATACATGTTTTGCTTGAAGACATTAATTATATCCCCATCATTCATCTTGTAACTCTATTCTATCCTGGTCTCAGTTATAACCCAACTTGCAACAACAGGCTTCTATAATAGCGCATATCAGTGCAAGTTTAGAACATATCTGTACTGATTGCAAAGATTTTTTTAAAAATTGGTGGTCCTATAACCCTGAAAATATTTATTACATAACTTATGAGATCGCTAATTTGCATTTTTCATTAGGGAATAAGCCAGAGGTTGTTGGGTTTTCTTTTTAAGAATTCAGCCTTCTTTATTTACATTTTCTCAGGGGGATATGGCCAGCTCTGCCTAATTCATGAAATGGTTCCCTATTACCTAATTAGTAACATTTCAATGCTGCCCATGCACCCATTTTGGCAAAGTTGTGTGTGAGGTGCTAGGATGACTAACGTGTGTGACATAATCACTCCACATAAATGGTTTCTGCTCCTAAATAATCCCCAAATCTACATGTTCTAAAATATACCTGACCTGAAGAGCTTCAAGTAAGAGATTGTGAAAGCTTACAACAACTAGGTTGTCAAATTTGGTGACTACCAACTTAATGAGCACGTGCCTTGAGGCTGGAAGAGGGTGAACTACTGAAATCTCAGGAGGTCAGGGAAGACGTCCTGCAGCAGCAGCTCTTGGCTGAGACATGAAGAATGTCCTGTGTGAAGGAAAGCAGAGGACCACGAGGTGACACAGTGCAGAGAGTGCCATCCCCAGCGTAGTCTGCGAAGGGCACCCCACAGACACAGTCTCCCACAGGGCAACAGTAGCAAGTGGGAGAGGTCTCTAGGCAGAGGTGACTGGCAATCCATGTAAGGCACAGAGAAGGCACTGAACATGGTCCACGCATGGGGTCTGAGTTAACCAGGGCAGCCAGATCAGAGAATTTATTTACAGAAGCAACAGAGTCCAGGTTGATAAGGTGCAAAGTCAGACTCAGGGTTTTCCACAAAAGGAGATGTCTCTTTTCCCTGAGGTCATTGTGTCAGAGCAGAATGGCATCTAAGGCCCTGTGGGGCTGCAAATGCATACAAATAACGTAAACTTAGCCTCCTCCGCACACTGCCACCCTTCCTTCTTTTCAAAGTGGCTTGGTACAACACAAGATTGGTGGGCAGGCGGGAGGGAGGGTGCTTTTGGAAAATGTATCACCTAAGATTTCATCTTTCAAGCCCTGCTAAGGCAGAGGTGCTCTGGAAGAGAGAAACCTGATCCCTCTGAACTTTTCACTGTGTGCTTTGCCTCTAACCTGAAAACCAAATCAGGTTTACAAACCAGCAGGTTGAGCAAGACTGTGTTTTAAGTTTCACGTGTCCTAAGAGGACCTCCTGGCCTCGCACGTCCTAATCTGCTGCAGTAAGAGGTTGCTCAAGAAGCTGTGGACAAGAGGCCAGGACATTTCAACCGCAGATGGGGAAAACAGGACTCTCTGGGCTTGTGACCGTCCTAATTACGCATTCATTTATTCATTCGACTAGGACCTATTTGTGCACATTATGTATAGGGCACCGTGTGAAGTGTTGCTGCAGGTAAGAGGCAGAGCAGGCAGCCAGTATTTTAAAAGCAGACAGAAAGCAAGTATCCAGAGAGCTACATACAAGTGCACGCGATGAGGCCAGTGAAGAACATCAGTGTGGTACCAGGAGATGATTCCCTGTGGATGAGGAAGGGGGCAACTTCTGAGCTGGACCTCGAGGGTATGTTTAGACCAACAGAAATGAGACTGAGAAGAAGAGATGGAAAATGAAAGGAGACTACTAATATGCTCACACAGCATTCCTGAGTCAGCCTCTGCCCTCGCCCTAACGTTGCCTGTGCTCTGGCGGCGAGGAGGAGACAGGACCGCAGAGACAACGCCGGACAGGCGGACAGGCGGTGGGAAGCTGCTGCAGGCGCTGGGGTCTGGGAGTGAGCGCAAGCCGGGGGCTCAGCCAGAGGCGGAGTCTGAGCTCCATTTCTTCCTCACTAGCTCAAACCACCTCATTTATGGACATAGTGAAAATGCCAGCTCTCTGGAGCAACTGTCTGTTGTTATACATCTATTTTCTCTTGATCGAGAACAGCCTCTTAGAGGAAAAGAAATCCAAGGTGCTGGAGGACACGTAGTCGTCTCTCCCGTGTTCTGACTGGCTGGGGACCAGGGGCCAAAGGGCAGAGATTCATTAACATGGAAATAATCCAAGAGCAGGATCCCACATTTTGCTAACCAGTCCCCAGCCTGCAGCTCAGCCCTCCCGGCCTTTCACTGGGCAGCCGAGAGACCTCCTTCACCCCCCTTTCTCTCAACCACCACCGACAGGCACCAACAGTGGTGAACAGGGAAGGCAGTGCTGAGAACCTGCTGGGTACCAGCCTTTGCCCTTTTCCTTGGCAGACGCTTCCAACTGAGGTTTAAAAAGTTACCATCCCTGAGCTTGGCTCTTCTGAGAAAAACAGAACCATGAGCACAGGAAGTGTTATTTCCAACTTCAGGCAGAACACTGAGGCTTCACGCATCCCCCAAGAGGTCCAGTCCTCCCCATTCTTTCCAGAACTTTTTGTCTCCGACCTCCAGGGGTCAGTGGGGGCTGCAGGAGGCACAGATGTCCTGAGTCCAGCAGCCACCTGGCATTCCAAGCTTCTCCTCCATTTCATGGCAGTTTCCTCAGGACCTGGGAAGCAGAGGCTGCCGGCTGTTAGATGTGCATGTTAGGCAGCTCACTGTGCGAGTTTCTGTCCTGCCCTGGCAGCACAGAGGAAAGGCTGATTTTTCCATTAAGCCTTCAACCACTTCTCAAAAGAAGTGACTTCAAAATGCAGTGCCAAGGTGGGACACAAGTTCTGGGGCTTCTGGTGCCCTGTGCTTGCGGGTGAGGGGTGAAGGCCACCAGCTGGTGAGCTAGGGAACTCCTCAGGCACGGTGGTGGCTCCTTCGACAGGGTGGTGGTCCTCAGGCTGCCGTCCCTGGGCCAACCGCATCAACAGCTGCCGAGTGGCAGGAGGTGCACATCCTCAGGCCCCACCCCAGGCACACACTGAGTCAGAAGTGCTGCGTGTGGGCCCAGGCATCTGCAGTCGGAGGAGCCCTTCAGGTGATTCCGATTTCACCAAAGTTGGGGAACTACTTCCGTAGAGGGTTCTAATTGCTGTCGAAGAGCTCGCTGAACACCCCACAGCCGGTCAAATAAGCTAAAGGCTTCAGCGAGCTTCCTTCGGACCACTTAGCTGGGTTTTTTAAACATCAGAACCACTGCTGCGATTGGAAAAAGAAAACTCTACAGGACTAAAACCACAACTAATACTGGGGGTGATTAGAACAAGGACTGTGGTGGACAGAGGCCAGCTCTGAGCCAGGAGCTATGTTTTTCTTTCCAGATCTTACGGAGACCTTTTCATTTCTCACATGGGTCTTTGGGTTGTTTTTTTTTTTTTCTTTTATGGAGTAAAAAGCTTTTAGTCAACCAAGAGCTAAATGTCCACTTTTAGGGGCAAGTCGTTCTTGCTCTCCTTCTCAAGCCTCGTTACTCCTCCTAGGACCATGTGGAGGAAGGCAGGGCCAGCATCTACCCAGCCGTGTTCACCAACACCTCCAAGGAGATGATGTGCTTCCCGGACTTCCCGTGCCCTGAGGACTACCCCAACTTCATGCACCACAGCCAGCTCCAGAAGTACATACGGTCGTTCGTGCAAAAGAAGGGCCTCCTAAGATATATACGGTTTGAGGTACGGGCCGTGGACTCATGCTGTTGATATCACCATGCGTGTGGGCTGGGGATAACAAGCACAGCACTCAGCTGTGGAAATCAGAGCCAAGCGGCTGGGCAGCTCTCCCACCGGAGCGGAGCGCTGGCGATCATGAAGTACCCACGTGCTGGGGTTTTTATTTTTGTCCCCAAACATGTTCCCCACGAGTCTCTGAGAGCTCTTAAAATGCCACACTGCGACTCTGCCACCAGTTTGCTTTCCACCCTCACGCTCTCATATTCTGGCGACAATCTCAAATTCTCTAGTTCATAGTTAAACTTCGTATCAATATGTTGTGGTTCCAGAAAGCACGGCATTCGTTAGAAATCCTTCCATAAGAAATGATCAATACAGTCTTTTCTCTGGTCTTCCACCCACTGAGCTCCTGAGATGAGGAGCCTCAGGAATCGGGGCACAGAGGCAATGTCCTTGTAATGAGAGCAATGATTTTCATTTGTTTAATCTTACTCTTACCCTCAATTCATGGCTGTTACATACAGAGCACATATATCTAGAAATATCAGCAAAGCTATGAATTGGGATTACATATAATTTTAATTATGTAATAAATATAAAAGTTTTAAAATTATATATTTATATAAATAAATTATATATTATATATTATATAAATATTATATTTGATATTTATATTAAATATGCATATATTTATTTTTATTTTTATATATTTATATTAAATGTTTACTATATTTATATTTATTTATATATTTATTTAAATATTTGTATATAATAAACAAATATGTTTTATATATTATATAAATAAATGTGTGTTTATATATAAATATTGAATGAATATTTATTTATATATTAAATATATATTTATATATATCTATATATTTATATAGATATATTTAATATTTATATATAAATGTTAAATATATAAATATAAATATATTATATATAAATAATAAATATATGAAAATTTATAAATATATATTTATATATTAAATAAAATAAATATTAAATGTATAATTAAATGTTTATATGTGTTTATGTTTATGTTTATATTATATATAAATTATATATTTTATATAATATAAATAAAGATTATATATTCATTTATTAAAAATACAGAGCACATATATCTAGAAATATATCAGCAAAGCTATGAATTGAGATTACATATAATTTTAATTATATAATAAATAATATAACTTATATATTTATTTATTAAAAATATCTTTATATATAAAAATATTTATATATTAAAAAATAAATTACGTTTAATTTTAATTAAAATAATAAAATTATATTTATCATATCCCAATTATGATTAGTTACAAGTTAAAAATAAATACGCTAAATTAAAATAAGTTAATTATAGTAAACATAACTGTCATAGTCTTTAACATAATCTAATTTTATTTTTACACCTGCTTACATAATAGTCATACTGTGAAAGTGGCTAATGTTTCCAGAGGAGAGTGTCCATCCAGAGCAAAGGCGAGGACTGAGCCCTGAGACACTCTCGTGTAGCTGGAATAGAGGGGAGATGGGATCAGAGAGGGCGAAGGCATGGGTGCCCGCCATGTGCAAAGGACACGGCGGCTTTCGCCAGAATACTGTGTTGTACACCCCAAATTTACTAACTACAGGTCAAAAGAGTAAGTATGCCACAGTAATTCCCTGGTGAGATCTGAAAAGTCGCTGTGGCCTCTATATTAACGCCTTCCCGTACACTTCTCGATGACCAGGCGCACTCATTACAATTAGTTCCTCAGCAGAAGCACTGGTGAATAAATAAACAAACAAACAAACATAGAATTATGAGTAAAAGAAATTTCTCTCTGATTTTCTTTAAGACTCTGGTTTCCAGTGTCAAGAAATGTCCCAGCTTCTTAGTCACCGGCCAGTGGGAAGTGGTTTTGGAAAAGAACGGGAAGCAGGAAACTACTACTTTTGATGCTGTAATGGTTTGTTCCGGGTATCAAGTGTACCCCAATCTGCCCCATGATTCTTTCCCTGGTAAGTCTGGGAAATGTATAATAATCTCGGGATTTAGCCATGAGCATCAAGGTTGAAGTAGACCTTTCCACAGATTGTGCGTAATTATTCTTAAGCTTGAAAAGATTTCAAAACAAAATTTTTAAGCCTGATGATATGTGAAGCATAGTAATAATGGGCCTCCTGGACCCCTATACTGAATGAATCAAGGGCCTGGAAGTCAGAGATAAGCTGGAGCCGCAGGTTTCAAGCTGTGTCTCACCTGAGACACAACACGAGCAAGAGCCCTGACTGCACATGGCACCTCTGAGAGAAGGCGCGATACGCTCACAGAAGTAGAGCCCCATTGCCAAATTGTTTGAAGAAAGTCACATTTCCTTATGTTATTTATAACAAACATAGTGGTGATTCATAGAGGAAATCTGGGTTTTCTAATGTCATATATGTCCACACTTTGCAAATGAACTTTAGAAATCTCAGTGTGTGTGTGTAGCAAACATCACAAAAATACAACACACAAGCAGCCAGCCTTCCTCCTTTCCTCCCTCCTTCCCTCCCTTCTTTCCAACAGAAACACACATCCACTCAAAAATAGTAGCGTTCCCATCTCAAGGCATGATGTTCATGGGCCAAGATCATGAAAAGAGGAGAGATTCAGAGAGAATCGAAGATCGAAACCATCAACGTTAAGAGCCAGTATATTTCCTGGAGGCTCACAATACAGTGTAGGTTTAGTCTGCCTGGGCTCAATATTCCACAGGTTCCTTACCACATAACCTTAGTCAAGTCACTTATTTGTCTCAATTTCCTTATATTTTAAAATAGAGATAATACCAGTACCTACCATTCAGAGATGTTATCAAGATTAAATGATTAAAATACATAAAGATTTTAGCAGAGGGCCTAGCCCACAGTAAGTATTCAATAAGTATTAGCTATTATTATTATCAAAATAGAAGTTCTCATATCTTAAGGGTTTTTTTTAAAGGCACTAAAAGTAATTGTTTGAGGGTTTCTTGTCGAAAACCACCAAAAGGATAAATGCATTTGAATTAAGGAACTTTTTTTAAAATTAAGACTGCTAATAGGAGGTTTAAAAATAAATCTATCAAAACACATGAGTCTTTATCATTTTTTCTGAAAATCAACTGAAACTACTCCCCATGTTTCCCTTAGGCCTAGACCAGTTTCAAGGCCACATCCTCCACAGCCGGGACTATAAGGGCCCAGAAGCCTTCAAGGGGAAGAGGGTCCTCGTGATTGGCCTGGGGAACTCAGGATGCGACATTGCCGTGGAGCTCAGTCGTGTGGCTACGCAGGTACATGATCTGCAAGGTTTGGGGAAACCAACCTGGGGGACAGCCGTGCTACTAATCCTACAGCCTAGGCACTGAAGATGCTGTTGGCTATGTCTCACCTCAAGCCCCCGCCCCTGGACACACATGCCCACTCAATCAGGGAAGACTGCAGACCGTCTCCCTGGGAGGCCAGGTAAGCGGGCCCATGCCGGTGCAGAAATGCACGCCGCTGGAACCAGAGGCAGGCGTGTGTGTGTGTGTGCACGTGTGTGCGCACATGAGCATTGTTTTAATTTTATGCCCTGATCACCTCCAAGCAAACTGGTGGCTAGTCAGACTCTACCTTAATTTATTTACTAGTATTTCTTCTCACATACCAGGCAAAAGGTACTTGCTTAACACTCGGAAGGTCTGAAAGAGACACAAGATGTAGTTCTTACTATTGTTATTCACTCAACAACCATAGCTAAACACACACCAGACATTTTTTATGTGCCAGAGAACACACAGAAACAAGCAGCCTACTTCCTGACTTCAAGGAGCAGGCGATGGGTGGAGGTGGGACGCCAGGTACTCACAAAAGGAGGTAATTAGACTTCAGTGAGTGGCAGCACGTGAACGGAGAATCAAACCCAGCCTGGAGTCAAGGGAGGCTTCCCAGGAGGCTCCAACTACATCACACATAACCAGGAGAAACAGCATATTGTAAAGGAAATAGGTCTCAATAAATTAATTCTTAAATGTATGCAAATAAAAGCAAAGGACTTTTTACAAGTCGGGTTCCCTTGGGTTGTCACCAACGTGGTAAAACAGACAGGGAGCCAGACTTGGCTTGCGGTGGAGGCAGCCGCCAGGCTTTGGGCTGCCCGGCAAGGCCCACATGGGTGTGGAGAGAGAACAGGCAAAGGGGACCAGGGACAGAGAACAGAGTTAAACCCTTGGCATCTGCGCAGCCTCATCTCAGCTAGAGATTCGGCTACACTGCCCTCACCCAACCCAGCCACCACCGCCACTGAGGTCGCTGGACTGGCTGGTTTCCGTCAGACCTACTGTCCTGGTCTACGAGTGTATGCAGATGAAACCTGTCACAGACGAATACAGAGCCCTCCTGTCCCAACACATCCTGTTCTCCTTCTTTCAACAACTATGCACTAGCCCTCTCGGGTGCAGGGCGGGAGAAGGTCTGCCTCTACCTGGTTTCGGTCATGAGCCCACCTCTTAGACGTGGTCCTCCCCAGACGGCGAAGGAAATAAACTCCTGGTACGTCCACAGCATTGTGTCGTATCCGCAGTCTCTTGCAGGATGGTACTGAAATCGATGTCGCCTTCCCCACCAGGTCACAATCAGCACCAGGACAGGTTCCTGGGTCATAAGCCGGGTCTGGGATGACGGCTATCCTTGGGACATGGTGCATGTTACCCGCTTCACACGTTTTCTCAAGAAGGCCCTTCCTTCCTTCATCTCTGACTGGTTATACGTCAAGAAGATGAACAGACGGTTTAAGCACGAGAACTACGGCCTGATGCCTTTAAATGGGTACTATGAATAACACGTATTTCTCACTCAAAGAGGGGGGCACTGGTTTCAGTGCAACTCTTTCTCTCTAGGTCTTATTTTAGTTGTCTCGTGGAGGCTGGCGTGGTTGAACTGAGGACTACGTAGGTGACACGGTAGCCCCAGAGGCCACGGCTGGGATGAAAATCCTCCTGAAATTAGGCTAGAGGGGACAGGAGTGAGGAAGAATCCAAAATGGGAACGGAGCAGGCAACTCGGTCACCCCGACATGCAGAGCTCAGTCGTGGGAGCTACAACCTACATGGAGGTCTGAGGACTGAGCCAAGTCATAAATTAGGTTTTTTTGAGGAATATCTTGTCCATACTTGTGGGTGAATGAGGATAGAAATAATCATATATCTACTCCAATGCTGTGGTGGGATTCTACAAGATAAAAAAATATGAGACTTACTTTGTAAACTGTGAAGCTTCACAAAATATTGGTTCTTAATAGTCTCAAATTTTCTAATATGCTTCCAGGGCACAATTACAAAGTAGGGTTAACCAACATGCCTCAGCAGGGAGGAAGTCTCAAGGCAAAAGTGCACAGCTCCCCCGTCACGGACAGGCTGGCGTTTTTGCAGGACGGCCAGGAGGCCTGGGGCACGTTGGGCACCTGAGATCACAGGGCTGAGGCAGCTGATGAACTTGGCGGCTTCGTGTGCACATTTGCTGTGGAGACAGAGCCCAACACCTGTTAAGGAGAAAGGCATTCTAGGTAGAAGAATCACTGTATCGATTTTTTTAAAAAAGATTTAAGTGGGTAAGGAAAAAAAGGATTCAGAAAGAAATTCTTTTGTTGGCCCACACTAGCAAAAACGTTTCATTGTGTTTAGAGAAACAGATTAAGGAAAAATAAGAGAGAACTAGAAACTGAAATAGCAAATGCCAGGCTTGGGAGCCAAACCCTCACTCCACAGCACTTCTCCTACCTGCTCTGGCAGACTGCTGGATCCCTAAGGGGCGGGGGGAATGATTTCATGCACTTAAAATTATGCTTAATGTAATAGAAGCTCCAAAGCTTGAGCTGGTTAAGATTCTTTGTGTCTTATAAGGGTAACTGTAAACAGCACTATGGCTTTGTCCTCCAGATGATTAAAACGGGGTTTTGGAAATCCACCCCTAAGCACTAAGCCCCCTCTCAGGAAGGGCTCCAAGCCCCCAAAGGTACGGACACACTCTCACGCCTGCTTGGAGAGCAGAGGTGGAGGAGGGGAGAGAAAGACAGGTTTCGCTGTGCCACGTACTTTTCGTCACCTTATAAAGTAAAAGAAGAAACCTCAGGGTTATAGAGGTGGAGAACAGTGTGACAGTTCAGAGACAAATTCTTAGATTCATAAAGTTCCTTAGGGTTTGAGAAAGAAGAAATTCCCAAATCCGTGAAGGAAACTAAAGTCAAAATGAAGAATATCATTAAAAAAAAAATTCCTAGAATGTTGGCAACAGACATGCAGCACCAAAACTGTCATACTCTCTTTTGGGAGCACGGCTGACGAAAGGAAACCAAACTTGGCAATAAAACATCCAGCCACAGCCAATCTGATTCCCCCCATATGATGAGAGACCTTAGTTACAATAATAGTTCACTTACAATAATGATGCTCACACATGCCAAGCACTCTTTTGAGTGCTTTACAGATAATTCTTCATTAATTCTCAGAACAACCCCATCAGGTAGATTCTATATTATTCCCATTTTGCACTGAAGGAAACAAATACAGAAAAGTGACAACTAGTAAGAGTACAACCAGGTTATACATTTGGGTCATCTGGTTCCAGAGCCAGCGTTCTTAACTATGCTACTATGTCTTAGGAATTACTTTTATTCTAACCCATTTGGCGAGTCTCTAAATAGTGCAAGTACCCAGAAGAGAAGCTTCAAGTTGCCAGGGGCCACCAGAAGTAGCTCAGACAGACGTCCCTGAGGACTGTTCTGGGCAACAGGGGAGGAAGTGCCCAGAGGGAGAGAGTTCGGGTGTCCTCAGGCTGACCTCTCACTGCTCAAATTGGGTGTCAGTGCTACGGGCTGGCACAGGTAACCCTTGGGAATGAGGTACCTATGGCAAAGGCCCATGGTTCTTGTCTCTACACAGCACCCTGAGTAAAGAGCCTGTGTTCAACGATGAGCTCCCATCACGCATCCTGTGCGGCACCCTGTCCATCAGGCCCGGCGTGTCAGAGTTCAGAGAGACGTCGGCTGCGTTTGAGGATGGGACCACGTTTGAGGCCATCGACACAGTCATCTTTGCCACAGGCTACACTTATGCCTTCCCCTTCCTGGATGACTCCATCATCAAGAACAGAAACAATGAGGTCACCTTGTTTAAAGGCATCTTCCCCGCAACGATGGAGAAGCCAACCTTGGCTGTGATTGGCCTTATCGGGTCCCTTGGGCCGATCATCCCTGTCGTTGACCAGCAAACCCGCTGGGTTGCTAAAGTGTTTGCAGGTAGGTGGGCCATTCTGTCTCTCATTCATTCAGCCACTGAACATTTATTAAGTATCTAGTAGATACCAAGCACTATGCTAGGTGCTAGAGATATAAAGGGAAACAAGACAGACATGCTCCTTGACCGAAAGAGAGCTTAAAAGAGGGTGAAGGAAATGTGCACCCTATGGGGGAAATCATAGGTGGTTCCGGTGAGGCAGTGAGCTAGTCCAGGAAGATGGAACAGCATGAGGAAAGGCATAAAGGTGAGGAACAGCACAGTGTGTGTGAGGACCCAGAAACATTTTGTCGTGAAGGGGTATGAAGCAGAGGCAGGGGGCGGCAAGGCATGGAGGAAAGAACCAGTGTGTGGAGGGTCTGTACAAGCTGTGATAAAGAGCTTAGACTTCTGGGGGGAGAATTGGAAGGACTTTGAAAGGCTTCAAGCAAGAGAAGGATGCAACGAGTCACTGAAACGTCCGAGTACATGGCAAAGGTTGGAAAGGCCATGTCGGGGGACATGCTAGAGGCCTTCTTGCTGTCCACCTGTGTCAGAATAGAAATGTGAGGTCACTTCTACTCAACGAACTATCTTCTCCCCCTCCCTCCACTCTCAGCTCTGTGGTCTCCAGGGGCTACAAGTATGTTTATGTGAGAAAATCAAGAATACACAAAGTACACAGAGAAAGGCAATGCCTCAAATACATTGATGTAATTTACTCCAATGATATGGATTATCATTGTTATTGAAAGTGTCTTTTTATTCAAGGGTTAAAGAATCTTGGCCAATATACGTATACCTTACCTAACATACTATCTATAAAAACTTAGACTAAGGTAATGAAGAAAGTGTTAATCATAGAGCATATATACATGTTTTCTAAGCATGTGGTGGATAAATAAGATTTTCTTTCAAGAGCACCATGAAGGAGCATCACTGTTAATACCCCTGTCAAGTATTCCTATTGCCTTTTCCCTTGAACGGCACAGCAGTGCCTGGTGCCTGAGATATTATGGGAAGGCTAGATACCGCTTACAAACCCAAAAAATTTTACATGAAGCGAAGGGTATCATTTATTCATTCAGAAAATACTAATTGAGTACCCACTGTGTGCCAGGCTCTGTCTTGGCACTTAGGACACAACATCAAACAAAATGACCAAAACCCAAGTAGAGGCACAGCCACCATGAGATCACAGGGCACTGCCAGGCCGAGACAAGATGCTAACAAGGACTGGGATGTGTTTGCACACTGTGGACACCATAGTAACTTCTCGCCGCTGTTAAAAAGGCAAGCGAACCGCCATCAGCAATCAGTAAAACCCTCCACTGATATAGTGAAACTTACAAAAAAAACTTAAAAAATCTTGCTGCCCCCACTTTAAAAAATTTATTTTTCAATTACAGTTGACCCACAATATTATATTAGTTTTGGGTATACAACATAGTGATTAGATATTCATGTACCTTACAATATCCTCCTTGGCTGCAGGCTGATTCTGAAAAAACCATGCTTCCTCGCACTGTCCCATTTTAATTGCTGTGTACCTTCAGAGTGAACTATTGTACCAGATTATTTCTTGAGAGAATCCTTAATAAGAAGAGGCTGACAAGAAATATGAAGAGACTGTTAAGCTATTATGCGCATGAAGTATTCCTGAGTATACTAAAGGCTGGGCCCTACATTATGTCACAGGAACATGAGATCCTGTGACTTAAAGCTACAAACTCTTCTGCTATCTCTGTCTCATTGCACACCAGCTGTGCCATTCCCAGAGCAGGTTCATTGGCTTCTCAGATCTTCGTTCCTGTGAATTGTTTTTCTACTAAAGATACCAAAAAGATAGTTCCTCTTGATACAAATCATTTTGGCGACAGAGTTCATAAATATGGAATAAAAGCATTATGTGTCACTATACATTTCTGAGTCTTTGTCTTTTTCAATATTTCTCTCTTTATTTCTTTTCTAGACTCCTGTCCCCTGCCAAGTACAACGGAAATGATGGATGACATTGACAAGAAAATGAGGAAGAAACTCAAGGGGTAAGGGATTGCACTTACTAAGGAAACAAAGAGCACACTAGCTATAATTAAACAGTATCAGATGAGCAAATAAAAATTTTAAAAACAATCCCATTACAACTGCATCAAAAATAATAAAACACCTAGGAATAAATTTAACCAAGAAAGTGAAAGACCTGTACTGAGAATGCTATAAAACATTGATGAAAGAAAGTGAAGAAGACACAAATGAATAGAATGTATACAGTGCTTATAGGTTGGAAAAATTAATAACATTAAAATGTCCATACTACGCAATCTACAGATTCAATACAATCCCTATCAAAATACCAATGACATTTTCCACAGAACTAGAACAAATAATCTTAAACTTTATATGGGACTACAAAAGACCCTGAATAGTCAAAAAAAATCTTGAGAAATAAGAACACAGTTGGAGGTGTTGCAATCTGTGGTTTCAAACTATACTACAAAGCTACAGTAATCAAACCAGTATGGTACTGACACAGAAACAGAGACACAGATCAATAGAACAGAATACAGGTCCCCGAATAAACCCATGCTTATATAATCTAGTAATCTACAATAATGGAGGAAAGAATATATAGTGGAAAAAAAGACAGCCTCTTTAATAAATAGTGTTGGGAAAACAAAACAGATACAAAAAAAGAAAACAAACCTAAAACTAGATCATTTTCTTATACCATATACGAAAATACACTCAACGACTAAGACCTAAAACCATAAAACTCCTGTAAGAAAACAAAGGCAACAACAACAACAACAAAAAGAGTGAGAGGAGAAAGAGAAAATGACGGACATGGGCAACAGCGCGTTGAATGCCAGGTGAGGAGGATGGAGAGAGGTGGATGAGGGCGTAAGGGGGTAAGTGGTGCTGGACGGAGATGTGACTTGCGATAGCGAACGCACCACACGGTGCACCGATGATGTGTTGCAGAATTGTGCTCCTGAAACCTGGATAATTGCATTAACCAGTGCCGCCCCAACAAATTCAATAAAAAGAAAAAAAAAAGAAATATATATAACAAAACAGATTAAAAATTAAGTCAGAGCAAAGAAAAAATGAGATCAAAGGAATAAGAGAATTCCAGGAAGGGGACAAAAAAGAAACAAAGGCAGTAGATGTTTTGATATCAGTCTCTGCAACATTTTTTAAATATGTCCCCTCAGGTAAAGGCAACAAAATAAAAAATAAACAAATGGGACTACATCAAAGTAAAAAGCTTTTGCAACAAACAAACAAAAACTCATAGATACAGACAATAGAATGTGGGTTACCAGAGGGGCAAGGGGTTGGAGGAATGATGTAAAAGGTAAAGAGGGTAAATACAAGGTAAGAGAAGGAGACTAGATTTTGGGTGGTGAGCACCCAATAGAGTATACAGATGTGTTATAAAGTTGCGTACCTAAAATTTATACAATGATATGAACCAATATCACCCTGATAAATTTGATTTTAAAAAAAAGCAGTTGCACAGTGAAAGATACCACCAATAAGATGAAAAGACAGCCTACTGAATGGGAGAAGATATTTGCAAATGATATATCCGATAAGAGGGGTTAATATACAATTCAATATCAAAAACAAACAATCTGATTAAATAATGGGCAGATGACCTGAACGGACATTTCTCCAAAGACATATAGGTGGTCAACAAATATATGAAAAGATGCTCAACATCACTAATAATCAGAGAAATGCAAATCGAAACCACAATGAGATATCACGTCACACCTTTCAAAATGGCTATTACCAAAAAGACAACAAATAACAAGTGCAGGTGGGGATGTGGAAAAAAGGAAAGCCTTGTGCTCTATTGGTAGAATAATAAATTGGTACACCCACTATGGAAATCCAGAGATTCCTCAAAAAATTAACAATGGAACTACAGTACGACCCAGCAACCCCACTTTTCAGTATTTATCTGAAAAAAATAAAGACAATAATCTTCAAAGATATATGTACCCCTATATATATTCATTGAAGCATTGTTTATATTAGCAATAAATGGAATCAACATAGGTGTCCATCAGCAGATGACTGGCTAAAGAAGACGTTTGTATTTCATTTGTACAGTGGAATACTACTCAGCCATAAAATGATTAAAATCTGGCCATTTGCAACAACATGGATCAACCTAAAGAGTATTAAGTTGTGTGTCAACTCCGGTTTTTTAAAAAATCAAGCATTAATTTTTTTTTTTAAATCGTGTATTAAAGAGAAAACTAAGTTAATCAGTAAAATTGAGACCCTATAGTCAGTTCACTTCAGGCCACATGGGCAGAGACAAAAGCCCACAATGACATCAAAGCTGTACAAAGGTTAGGAAGGGAAGAAACCTAAAAGCTCATTTACAGCCAAAGAACAAATGATAGGTTTAATGTTGTGGCAAAAGAGAGGAGGGAGTTATTACTGGAAGTGCTGACTAAAATGCTCATTTTCTGAGGTAGAAAATAAGAAATCGTTGCTTCTGTTTACAACTCCCTCTTATATGTTCTTTTCTTTCCTCAGGTTTGACCAGAGTCAGACTTTGCACACAGACTACATCACATACATGGACGAGCTGGGATCCTTCATAGGCGCCAAGCCTAACATACCGTGGCTCGTCCTCACTGACCCCCAGCTGGCCCTGCAGGTGTACTTTGGCCCTTGTAGCCCCTATCAGTTCCGACTTATGGGACCAGGGAGGTGGGACGGGGCCAGGAAGGCCATCTTGACCCAATGGGACCGTGCAGTGACGCCAACGAGGACAAGAGCTGTCAGTAAAGCGTGCAAACCCCAGCCTTTGTACAGCTTGCTTAAAGTGCTTTTATTCCCGCTGCTGCTTCTGTCTGTTCTCCTTACATTTTATTACTGAGAAGGTTCGTTGGGTCTCAGAGTTCAGCCTAGAAGCTTAATTACTGACATGCCTATTCATGTACACATATAAAATCTCATAGCTGCTCTTTCCCTTCCTGCAGATGTGAAAATGAGTTCTAGCCCATTTGACTCCAAGTCCAAATACAGTGAAGAATACTCAGCATCTCCTTTCTCATGACAATCTATACTCTCAAAGGTTTTCCACAGGCTGAGTTGGCAAGTCTGGAGATGCTGGAGATAAGGAAGATGAGGGGAAACGGAAGTGAATGTCAGCTTTGCAGTCTGAACAAAGTTCAACATTTATATATTTTATGATATGATCAAAACAGTAAGTCTAGTAACCATCCATTACCATGCAAAGTTATTACAATATTATGTGTAATAAACACCTTAAAGGGTGTTTTGTCATGGGGAGAGCCGACATCACAGCCATGTTGAGTCTCCCAGCCTATGACACACCATATCTTTCCATTTCTCTAGATCTTTAATTTCTTTCAGCTGTGCTTTAGTTTTTAATGTATAAGTCTTACCCATCCTGTTTCAGGTTTATCCTAAGTATTTCACATATGGGCTGTTATTATAAATAGTAGTTTAATTTTTGCAATTTCTTACTGTGTATTGCAAACATATAGAAATGCAATAATTTGTTCTACATAGGCAATCACATTGTCTGAAAATAAAGATAGTTTCTTTTTCCTCCCATTCCAATTTGGGTGTCTTTTCTTTCTTTTTCTTGCCTTATTCCACTGGATAGAAACTGCAGTATATATAATGTTGAATAGAAGTAGTGAGAACATCTTCTATTCTGAACTCAGAACAACTGAGTTCATCAAATGTATTTGAAAAAATAAATTAAAATAAAATTTTAAAGAAAAGAAGAAAAGAAGAAAAAAGAAAAAGAAGTAGTGAGAACAGGTATCTTTGCCTTGTTCCTGATCTCATGGATAAAGCATCCAGTTTTCTATCATTAAGTACAATGTTAGCTGTAGATTATTTCATAAATGACCTATAAGTTAACAAAGTTTTCCTTAATTCCTAGCTGACAATTTTTACCAGAAACAGATGTTGGCTTTTGTCTGATGCTTTTTTGTGAATCGTTGAGATGATCATATGATTTTTAATTTTTAGTTTATAAACATGGAGAATTCCATTGACTCTTAATTCAACCTTGCATTCCTGAAATCTGCATTACTTGGTCATGATATATCACCCATGTGACATACTGTAGGATTACAGTCATTAACATTTTCCATAGATTTTTACATGAATGTTTATGAGGGAAAATGATCTGTATTTTATTTTTTGATAATACTTTTGTCTGGTTTTGGTATCAGGGTAATAATGGCCTCACAGAATGAGTTCTATAGAGGAAGTATTCTATCCTCTTTAACTTTGTGAAACAGTTGTATATAATTTAATAGCTTTATTAAATGTTTAGTAGAATTTACCAGGGAAGCCATCCTGGCCTGCAAGTCTTCATGGGAAGAATTTTAAACAATGATTTCAAGTTCTTTAATAGATGTAAGGTTACTCAGGTTATGTGTTTCTTCTCAGTAAAACTTTGGCAATATGTCTTTCCAGGAATTTGGTTTTTTATGTAAAGTAATTCAATGGCGATAAGATAGTCCTCCAACAAATGACATTGGGACAACTGGATATTCATATGATATCAAAAAAAAAATGGTCTAGAAACTTACAGAGACATGGGGAAAAAAAGAAAAATGCTGCTTTGAGTTGGGGTGTCTGTGCTACAGGAACATGTTTCAGGGTGTCAGAGTCCCCTCCCTGGCCCAGACGCAGTACTTGGTGGGGCGGGGGGGCCCCAACCAAGACCCTGGTGCAAGTGTGGCTAGGTACAGTGCTGACCCTTCAGACCTAGAATATCTGAGCCATCTAGAAATTTCTTTGGCAAATTGAACTTGTTGATATTCAATCAAATGGACAATATTAATTTTCATCAAACTAAATTTGATAGAATGTTACCTAAAACTTGTGTACTTGGTCCTGTGTAACAAATAGACATAAGTAATATATCTTTTCAAATTAGTGTTTTCATTTTCTTCAGATAGATACCCAGAAGTGGACTTGCTGGGTCATACAGTGGTTCTGTTTTCGGCTTTTTGAGGAACCTTCCTACTGTGTTCCATAGTGGCGGCACTGGTACACAGCGTCGCCTGCAATGCAGAGCTGCTCCCTTGTCTTCATAGCCTTGCCAACGCTTGTAACTTCTTGCTGTTTTGATAGTAGCCAGTATGACAGGTGTGAGGCGATATTTCACTATGGTTTTGCTTTAAATTTCCCTGAGGATCAGTGGTATCTGTTCACCACCTATATGTCTTCTTTTTAAAAATGTCTATTCAGGTCCTCTGACCATTTTTTAATCAAATTACTTGGGGTTTTTTATGTTGAATTGCATGAGTTCTTTACATATTTTAGATATTTACCCCTTCTCAAATATATCACTTTCAAATATGTTTTCTACTTCAGCGGGTTGCCTTTTTGTTTTATTGGTGGCTTCATTCACTATCAAATCTTTTTAGTTTGATGTAATCATATATGTTTATTTTTGCTTTTGTTGCCCTTGCCTGGGGAGAGAAATCCAAAAATGTATTTCTAAGGCCAATGTCAAAGAGTTACTGCCTCTGTTTTCTTCTAGGAGTTTTATGGTTTCTGGTCTTACATTTAAGTCTTTAATCCCTTTTGAGGTGAGTGTTTAATATTGCATAAGAACGTGACTCAGTTTCAATTTTTTTATATGTAGCCATCCAGTTTTTCCAACACAATTTATTAAAGACTGTCTTTTCCTCATTTTATATTCCCACTTCCTTTGTTGTTTATCGATTGTTTAGTCTTCCTAATTAATGTCAGCGTGAACAGCTGAGATTGTAAACCAAGGTACATTATCCAGTTCTATATCAATCCAAAGAGGGGGCAACGGACAGGGAGATCTCAGAAGGACCACCCGGTCCATCCGTGCCAGCATGCCCACGAGCAAGCATATCGAGATGGGGCAAGGGCCTGTTCGGGGTTTGCGATCTCAGGAGAGATGAGCACAGCAGGCTGGGACCCAGAAGTTGCCAGAAGAAGCCTGTCAATTCCCTGGGATCCAGGGTCCCAACCTGTTTCACTCATCCAGGCACAGTCGTTTGCCAGAAATAGTGCCTAACACACAGAAATGAGCTGTTGGTTAGATCAAATTCATACAGCCATTAAAAACGCCGCTATGGATATAAAGGTACAGAGATACGGGAAAGTGAAAAATCTAGTTGGAAATTAGAGTGTAATTTCATTTTTGTTTGTGTGTCCATATGTGCATTTACATAAATATCTGGAAAGATATACCAAATTGTCAACAGTGGTTATATTTATCTCTGTACCATGGCACTGAGGGTAATTTCAACTTTTCATTTATCCTTATTTTGTTAATTTGCAAATGAACCTTGGCTACACTGATTATAACAATGGTTTTTAAACCGTCTGTATGATATGTGTGCAAGTGCATATATGGCGCGGGTCCTGTAAAGACACTGCACCACCACCCTGAGCCCCAGAACACAGGCTCCTTGCTGGATTTCATAACTGCCAGTCCTGGGAGCAGAATGCGGGGGCGGGGAGAGGGTAGCCCCGCCCTTCCTCACTGCCTCTGCCAACTCATCGACGGACTGCCTCTGAGCACACAGCCCACAAAGCACACTATTGTGTCCGAGGGGCGGCACCCAAAGCCCTCAACAAAAGTAAGGAGGAGGCTGACAAGGAAAAGCCCAGCTCTGAACTCTAAAACTCTCAACTCTGGTGAAAGTAACTGGAGAGTTGGCTCATCTCCCTAGAACTATGTCACTGAATCACTTGGCTTTGCTAAATGGGTTGCTTTTCATTGTTAAGCCAAGACTTTGTCAACAAGGCTTGCAGTAAAGACCACAAGACTGTGGAATTTGAACTAGTAAAGCATTTTATTCCATTCCAGCTGGTTATTAAATTACCACTGCCATAGTCTTTAAAGCCCATTACCCAGCCACACTATGTGGTCTCTCTCTTCTTTTGCTCCTCTGTAGCAGCACTGACTGGTCAACTCCTTGACGGGGGACTATGGCAAAGAAGGTGGCAGTGATTGGAGCTGGGGTCAGTGGCCTGATCTCTCTGAAGTGCTGTGTGGATGAGGAACTGGCACCCACCTGCTTTGAGAGGACCGAAGACATCAGAGGACTGTGGCAGTTCTAAGTACATGAGCTCTTCTTGCTGCCTGCACAGGCTGCGCTGCTCGTGCAGGGCGAATCATAGCTACAGCAGAGCTTTACCAAGGGATTCCCTAAGCAAGGCTGATCAGACCAACTTCGTGCAGCCAGTCAGGCGCTGAGCACTAGACTGCGCCATGTCTCCCAGGCCGTGGCTATTCTAACCCAGGTGGCAAAGCCAAATGTGTCCCAGAGCTCTCCCTAAGGCTCTGTCTTGTAGCCCATTGTTTTTGTCATTCTCAAAGCAATATACTAATGTGACAGAATGTTTTATGAAATAGAAGTGACAGGGATTCTTTTCAAGACACCACTTCTATTCCAATCATTGAGCAAATGCTTTGGCAGAGAGTGTGCTCTTATTACTACTGACTTTTATTTTTCTGACAAATAAACTTTGTTTGCTTAGCTTTACTGATGACACCCTAGTGTAACTACTGGGAAATTCTTGGGCTATATTATTAAATATATTCTATTTATTAAATTCATGCTATTAGCCAAACCCAAATATTGGCAATGCTAGCTGTCCTTCAGAATTTGTATAAAAATTAGAAAGCTACATAGATAAGAGAGCTGTAAAGATCCATAATCATTCCTCCCACAATCTTCTGCGCAAGTACTAGCTTGCCACCTTCTAGGTGTGAGATCTTGGGCCAGTTATTTACATCCCTGTGTCCTGGTTTTCTCAGCTGTATAATGAAGATAGTAAGAGAAAAATGTAAACATCTTAGTACTATTTTGAAGAGTAAGGGAGATAATTCATATTTAAAAACTTAAAACAGAGTACAATAACTATTAGCTATGATAACTATGTTTATATTTTATAGACAAACAAACAGAAACAGAGGGTAAGTGACGTGCCCCTGGTCATGCAGCGGGAGGAACTGGCACTCAGTCCCGGGTCTCCACGAATTCCAGGCAGCTAAGTCCCTACTTACAGCCAGGCTCCAACTTACATTCTTGCTCAATAAGGTTAAACAAAATCTCAGCTCAGAACTCCAGTGACGAATGGGGGATCAGAAGTCAGGTACACAGAATGAGGGATTAAAACAAGTGGGAGCAGCCAGGCAGGGGCGCAGGGGTGCCGGGGCTGAGCGCAGGTAAAGGGCCAGCGCACAGGCAGAGGCCACCCGCGGGGCCCTTCCTGCGAGCAGATGGTTGAGGGGTGGCAGGGCGTCAGGCACCTGCACTGGCAGCGTGCAGGTGCCTGACGCCCTGCCAGTTCAAACCAAACCACGTGCCAAAGGAGTTTTTTTCACATTGGGTATCTCAAAGGTATCTGACTGTAAGACACCTATGGGTTTCTTAAAATACTGAATTTCAAATACCTGCCCAGATTTCCTGAATCAAAATCTTCTGAGGAGGAGAATCTATTCTTAACCAGAGTCCCCAATGGGTTCCATAATGAGACAAGATAGGCAAAAACTGCACAAATATTAAAATTTAAAGGTCTATTCATTCAACGA